CGCCACCACCTCCACTGCCTCCACCACTTCCACTGCTGCCCCCACCACCTTTCCTGCTGCCACCTCCACCACCACCGTTACCACCTCCACCACCCCTGCCACCCTTGCCCTTGCTGCTGCGGCGCTTTGCACTAGCAGAAGCAGCCCTGACGTCCTCAGCAACAGAGACGTCTGCAACAGCAGCAGAGGCATAGGAGGGGGCAAGGGGGGAGGGGGAGCACCCCTCAAAGAAGGGCGGGCGTGGAGTGCCACGAGCAGCACCTACAGCAATTGCACTAGTCTCAGCTGCGAGGAGATGCTGCTCGAGGAGGTCAACAGTGAGGGAGGTGGGGTCAAGGGAGAGAAAGTGGTCCCTGACAGAGCGAAGAGAGTCAGGGAGGCGAGTGACTATGAAGTAGAGGGTGATGAACATCGGGGGCTGGTTCTTGTCAAGGAACTCAGCAGGGACGGTAGCGCGGTAGCGAGCATCGCTAGTGCGCAGGTGGGAAACCAGGTCCTCTACTGTGGCAAAAGCTGACAGCTCGGGGAACAGGTAGGGTAGTAGCAGTCGGCCTAGAGCAGCAGTGGCAGGCGAGGAGTAGCGAACGACTACAACGTCGTACAAGGCCTGTGCTGTCCTGTGCTTTCTGAAGTGAGCGCATTCGGCTAACGGCAGGTGGTTGCGAATGTCTAAGCGGGCAGCCGCTTCGCGAGTAAGCCATTGTGAGCGAGTCACAATGTCAGCTGTGGCGGGAGGGGCGGTAGCGGCTCCTGGCGCGAGGTCAAACAGCGACACAGTGTCCTTAGAATCGCTCAGTAGGTACAGCTGTAGGTCGTCGAGCCACGTGTCAAACTGAACCGGTCTGCCCTCATGATCGAACCGGGCCATGGGGCCAGGAGAGAAGGGGCCGAGGGGCCGGGGGCCTAGGGGCGTCGGGCCGCGGGGCCAAGTGAGAAGGGGCCAAGGGGCCGGGGGCCTAGGGCGACGGGGCCGCGGGGCCAGGGGCGAAGGGGCCGAGGGGCTGGGGGCCTAGGTGCGTAGGGCCGCGGGGCCAGGAACAAAGGGGCCGGGGGCCTAGGGCGACAAGAGGGGCCGCGGGGCGACTGGTCGTGGGCGACGGGGGGCCGCGGGGCTTAGGCTAGGGGCGACGGGGCGACGGGCCGCGGGGCCTGGGCCTAGGATAGGGGCGACGGGTCGCGAGGGGCCGTGGGGCCGAGGGGCCTAGGCTAGGGGCGACGGGGCGACGGGCCGCGGGGCCTGGGCCTAGGCTAGGGACGACGGGTCGCGAGTCCTTGGCCTATGCTAGGGGTGACGGGTCGCGAGGGGCTGTGGGGCCGGGGCCTAGGCTAGGGGCGACGGGCGACGGGCCACGGGGCCTGAGCCTATGCTAGGGGCGACGGGTCGCGACGGGCGACGGGCCTAGGGCGACGGGTCGGGGGTCGACGGGCTGGGGCAACGGGCTGGGGTGACGGGTCGCAACGGGCGACAGGTCGCGACGGGCGAGGGGGGTCGCGACGGGCGACGGGCGACGGGGGTCGCGACGGGCGATGGGCGACGGGGGTCGCGACGGGCGACGGGCGACGGGGGTCGCGACGGGCGACGGGCAACGGGAGGCTGGGCTAGGGGCGACGGGCGACGCCAAGGGGCGACGGGCCTAGGGGCGACGGGCCGGGCTAGGGGTGGCGACGGGCAGGGGCCTAGGGGCCTACGGGTCGCGAAAGGAAGTCGGGGCAGCACGAGGGCTGCAGAGGGCTGCTAGCGGGGTAGCGCTGTGGTGGGCCCAAGGAGAAAAAACCGGTCCTATCGGAGGACCTGCTCTGATACCATGTCAGAATAATGAACGAGAATGAATGAACTATGAAAGATTTGGGTACACGCACTAACCCTAATTGGGTTGTACCCCTTATGGGCTATATATAAGTTTGACACCGTGCATGCTAGGCAACCCACCCACCGATCAGTAGGACCTTCATGATCGTTGAAGTCCATCTTGTTCTGATGTTTCTTTCACCACCTAGCTTCAGCTCCTTGTCACCAGTGCTTCTTCTATTTCTCTGCTCGGCACGCTCTCTCATATTGCGGGATGGCTGTTTAGGCCGATGCCCTCGATGTCGTGACGATGATGATGATTCAGAGGGTGGCGTAACGCGGCTGATACTATAACCAGCCTAGATCGTTTCCGTAGCTCGCTAGCACGCGAGAAAACGCCCTGTTCCACGCATGTTACCAACTCTAACCCTTGAGAAGCCTGCGCCCCCAGTCACGAACGTCCCTGCTTCTCTCGATGAGACGGCTCAGGAACCTACTGTTGGTTTCACTAAGCTGGCGACGCTAAGCTTCGCAAATGCTGAAGTGGTAGGAGATGATGCATATAACGATGGTGATGGATTTGACTTAGTAGATTAGTGAAATGCTCATGGATCTATCCTGCCCTCACTAGCGTGCATAAACCAAAACCAGCAGTACTACTATTAACACAATCAGACTTGCCATTGGTGTGAACTCTGATTGATCAGATTTTTCTTTTGCCTTGACTCTGAAATTTCAGCTCTCTTTTCTGTACCGTGTCTGATTGATCAGACTAAAATTGTGTACTAAGTCTGACGAATCAGACAGGTTGAAAACGAATCTGAGGGCCTGGTGCGAGCTAACTAGTGCTACGCTGGCGCGAGGTTCGGGCTAGTCCCGAAGCGTAGGCTGATTCGGCTGCTCCAGCAGTGCGAGGTTTGGTGAAACAGTGCGCGCGAAGTTGGCGAAGCCCCATTAGCAGTAACGGGCGAACAACGGCTGCGGCTGTACGCGATGTTGACGGTCGCAGTAAGGAATAGCGAGAAAATTCATTACAGGCTGTTACCTTTAACGAAATGGAAAAAGCGGAACCCTCACTTGTGTGACATAATCGCAACCTAACCTGGAACTTTCAGGCACTGGAAAATTGAAAAACCGGGGCACCGAACCAGGCTCAACCGGAGGGACGAGGTGGAATGCGGGAAAGGAAGAAGTTTGGGTGGGTGGACGAGGGTTTTGTTGGGAAAGCCATCCATTTGCCATCTTTACAGTCACACAGGGCCTGCTGTCTTGAGACTGAATGAGCCTCCTTGGTTTTTGCCATCTTGTAGTGTCACGCCATTGAGTCACACTTAGGGTTTTTCCGGCGTGTTCTTGCAGATCTTGCTTCGCGCCAGTCACACCCAAACTGAACCTTTGTTGGTTGAGGTGTGATCGGGAACCAGAGTTAATCGCCTCCTTCATCTGCCTCTCCGTTCATCAGAAGAATGTGAAGGAAGCATCGGGTTGTAAACGCCGATTTGCTTGGCATATACTACGTGCGGACTGTGGTTTCTTCCCACCCCAAAAACGACCAGGGGTATTGCCCGATGTACGTTGAAAACAGAGGGGGGTCATGATCACCGTTTACACGCGAAAATTGTGCTACAGTGACCTAGTGTGCATTGTCATACATTCCGATAAGTTGCCTAGTACCCCCACTTACGGCCGAGTAGTATCGAGTGATCGATTTCCACCCACCCTAGTTTACTGTGACATCCCCCGCATCAACCATGGTTGGTGTCGCTTTACCATCGCATCATCAGCCGAGGCGAAAAAAAAAGGGAGAATTTGTTACCAGTGTGTTACACGTAACAAATTCAGTTACCTCTCGTGTATTCAGAAACTTCTTCACTTATGATTTATATTTCTGGATTGTGCTTGTAACCTGCTAACATGATTTGTTCCAGAGATCAAATATAACCTGGCTACGAATCCACCAAATGGTAATATGGTTGCATTTGCTAATAGGCGTAATGAATATATTCCAAAAGTGGGTTCACTAATGATTAATATAGAATATGAATTTCTTAAATTATGTCATTCATTATGAACCAGAAACAACCTACACACGTACACACCTACAGGAAACGACTACAGAAACACACACTCCCATCCTTCAATCAGAATCCGCACCTTCCCTGAACCCAGCTCCAAAACCTTGGGTTCATCACGCTTCAAGCAGGCAGGATTGTTCAGCCACGCCTCGTGTAGAGCCGCCACAACAACAGTAGTCTTGGCACGGACGTAGTTACTGTTGGTTGACTGAACACCACCCAGTGAAGGCTGGCCATTCCCCAGCCTGTATCTTTGCAAGGGGGCTTCAACTTGCACGTATGCATACAAAACGAATCAGTTGTTCGTGGTTTATTTACAGGTAAGGTAAAAACTGCTAAGCAAGACACGTACCACAACACAAAGGTAAGTCAGCATGGGAATCTTCACCCAGGCCAGATTGGATCTCACAACAGAGAATGCAAGCAGAGCTGCCTTCTCAAACGCTATGTTGGCGAAGGGAATCCCTTCGCTGTTAACATGCCACGAATATCCAAGTACAATTGCACATAAAACAACATTTAGATTAGTGAGTTGTTGATCAATATTCAAACATACAACATTTAAACCGAGCTGCTCACCATGCTTGAAGTCTTCCAGCCACTTCGCTTCATCGCGTTTTTTCGACGGGATGATCTGCTCCACCGCTAGCAACGGCCACTTGCTCTCATTCACCAACCCACCCGCACCCCATGCATAGAAACGGGTTTTATTGTGGGTGTTGCTGCGTTTTGTTTTTATTACCTTCGTCGTCAGCTTTTCAAACTCGATACGACCACCTGTCGCATAGAAATATTCGTCACGAATTATTCCACACTAGCGGTACTTCGTGAGGAGATGAGGTTGAAAAACTTCCCAAGTTGGGAAGAACTTCATGCACTCAACTGGCGCGTCGCCCGTCGCCACGTGAACGTCTCAAGCGCTTTTGTGTGTTAATCTTTCTTTCTGTGCTTATTTCTTGCTTATTTCGCGTGTTATCAGCCACGTGAACGTCTCAAGCGCTTTTATCTGCAGTTGGGGAGAAAGGTAAAATAGCAGACATATATTAAACGGCAAATAAGTTTACTCTTTGGTCCACAAGAAATAAGCACAGAAAGAAAGATTAACACACAAACGGTCAAACGCGAAATGTTCCGATTCATGCGTAAAGGTAGCTTACCCCGAACTCGTTGGCGGAAGTGCTACCAACGACCCAAGGATTGGACTCCGCCTTCATCGAGCAACCTGCATGGTGGCAAGAGGAGTGGGGGAGTCATGGGAGCTAGTGGAGAGGAGAAGGATGAGGAGAAAGGCGGCAAATATGAGGAGCAGAAGGCCGGGTTCTTCTTCTTCGTGAACGAAGGCGCAACCGACCTTGCTATGGCTGCCAAGGTTCTCCTACATCCCCTCACCCATTGGGTGATCTGTCCTCCTTGTCCTTGTACATCTACACACCCAGGGCTGCAGAGTGGTGAGGAGGCAAGGCGGGGTAGCTCTCAAGGGTGTTCTGGTGGGCGCGCTGGTAGAAGTTGAACAGGCTGTCCTCCTTGTCCTCGTACATCTGCACACCCAGGGGCGCAGAGCGGAGCAGAGCGGTGAGGAGGGAAGGCAGGGTAGCTCTTAAGGGTGTTTTGGTGGGCGCGCTGGTAGCAGTTGAACAGGCTGTCCTCCTTGTCCTCGTACATCTGCACACCCAGGGGCGCAGAGTGGAGCAGAGAGGTAAGGAGGGGAGGCGGGGTAGCTCTCAAGGTTGTTCTGGTGGGCGCGCTGGTAGCAGTTGAACAGGCTGTCCTCCTTCTCCTCGTACATCTGCACACCCAGGGGCACAGAGCGGAGCAGAGCGGTGAGGAGGGAAGGCGGGGTAGCTCTCAAGGGTGTTCTGGTGGGTGCGCTGGTAGCAGTTGAACAGGCTGTCCTCCTTGTCCTCGTACATATGCACACCCAGGGGCGCAGAGCGGAGCTGAGCGGTGAGAAGGGAAGGCAGGGTAGCTCTCAAGGGTGTTCTGGTGGGCGCGCTGGTAGAAGTTGAACAAGCTGTCCTCCTTGTCCTCGTACATCTGCACACCCACGGGCGAAGAGCGATGAGGAAGGAAGGCGGGGTAGCTCTCAAGGGTGTTCTGGTGGGCGCGCTGGTAGCAGTTGAACAGGCTGTCCTCCTTGTCCTTGTACATCTGCACACCCAGGGGCGCAGAGTGGTGAGGAGGCATGGCGGGGTAGCTCTCAAGGGTGTTCTGGTAGGCGCGCCGGTAGAAGTTGAACAGGCTGTCCTCCTTGTCCTCGTACATCTGCACACCCAGGGGCGCAGAGCGGAGCAGAGCGGTGAGGAGGGAAGGCGGGGTAGCTCTTAAGGGTATTTTTGTGGGCGCGCTGGTAGCAGTTGAACAGGCTGTCCTCCTTGTCCTCGTACATCTACACACCCAGGGGCGCAGAGTGGAGCAGAGAGGTGAGGAAGGAAGGCGGGGTAGCTCTCAAGGGTGTTCTGGTGGGCGCGCTGGTAGTAGTTGAATAGGCTGTCCTCCTTGTCCTCGTACATCTGCACACCCAGGGGCACAGAGGGGAGCAGAGCGGTGAGGAGGGAAGGCGGGGTAGCTCTCAAGGGTGTTCTGGTGGGTGCGCTGGTAGCAGTTGAACAGGCTGTCCTCCTTGTCCTCGTACATCTGCACACCCAGGGGCGCAGAGCGGAGCTGAGCGGTGAGAAGGGAAGGCGGGGTAGCTCTCAAGGGTGTTCTGGTGGGCGCGCTGGTAGAAGTTGAACAGGCTGTCCTCCTTGTCCTCGTACATCTACACACCCACGGGCGAAGAGCGATGAGGAAGGAAGGCGGGGTAGCTCTCAAGGGTGTTCTGGTGGGCGCACTGGTAGTAGTTGAAAATGCTGTCCTCCTTGTCCTCGTACATCTGCACACCCAGGGGCGCAGAGCGGAGCAGAGCGGTGAGGAGGGAAGGCGGGGTAGCTCTTAAAGGTGTTTTGGTGGGCGCGCTGGTAGCAGTTGAACAGGCTGTCCTCCTTGTCCTCGTACATCTGCACACCCAGGGGCGCAGAGTGGAGCAGAGAGGTGAGGAGGGAAGGCGGGGTAGCTCTCAAGGGTGTTCTGGTGGGCGCGCTGGTAGCAGTTGAACAGGCTGTCCTCCTTGTCCTCGTACATCTGCACACCCAGGGGCACAGAGCGGAGAAGAGCGGTGAGGAGGGAAGGCGGGGTAGCTCTCAAGGGTGTTCTGGTGGGTGCGCTGGTAGCAGTTGAACAGGCTGTCCTCCTTGTCCTCGTACATCTGCACACCCAGGGGCGAAGAGCGGAGCTGAGCGGTGAGAAGGGAAGGCGGGGTAGCTCTCAAGGGTGTTCTGGTGGGCGCGCTGGTAGAAGTTGAACAGGCTGTCCTCCTTGTCCTCGTACATCTGCACACCCACGGGCGAAGAGCGATGAGGAAGGAAGGCGGGGTAGCTCTCAAGAGTGTTCTGGTGAGCGCTCTGGTAGTAGTTGAACAGGCTGTCCTCCTTGTCCTCGTACATCTGCACACCCAGGGGCGCAGAGTGGAGCAGAGCGGTGAGGAGGGAAGGCGGGGTAGCTCTCAAGGGTGTTCTGGCGGGCGCGCTGGTAGCAGTTGAACAGGCTGTCCTCCTTGTCCTCGTACATCTGCACACCCAGGGGCACAGAGCGGAGCAGAACGGTGAGGAGGGAAGGCGGGGTAGCTCTCAAGGGTGTTCTGGTGGGTGCGCTGGTAGCAGTTGAACAGGCTGTCCTCCTTGTCCTCGTACATCTGCACACCCAGGGGAGCAGAGCGGAGCTGAGCGGTGAGAAGGGAAGGCGGGGTAGCTCTCAAGGGTGTTCTGGTGGGCGCGCTGGTAGAAGTTGAACAGGCTGTCCTCCTTGTCCTCGTACATCTGCACACCCACGGGCGAAGAGCGATGAGGAAGGAAGGCGGGGTAGCTCTCAAGGGTGTTCTGGTGAGCGCGCTGGTAGCAGTTGAACAGGCTGTCCTCCTTGTCCTCGTACATCTACACACCCAGGGGCGCAGAGTGGTGAGGAGGCAAGGCGGGGTAGCTCTCAAGGGTGTTCTGGTGGGCGCGCTGGTAGAAGTTGAACAGGCTGTCCTCCTTGTCCTCGTACATCTGCACACCCAGGGGCACAGAGCGGAGCAGAGCGGTGAGGAGGGAAGGCGGGGTAGCTCTCAAGGGTGTTCTGGTGGGTGCGCTGGTAGCAGTTGAACAGGCTGTCCTCCTTGTCCTCGTACATCTGCACACCCAGGGGCGCAGAGCGGAGCTGAGCGGTGAGAAGGGAAGGCCGGGTAGCTCTCAAGGGTGTTCTGGTGGGCGCGCTAGTAGAAGTTGAACAAGCTGTCCTCCTTGTCCTCGTACATCTGCACACCTACGGGCGAAGAGCGATGAGGAAGGAAGGCGGGGTAGCTCTCAAGGGTGTTCTGGTGGGCGCGCTGGTAGCAGTTGAACAGGCTGTCCTCCTTGTCCTTGTACATCTGCACACCCAGGGGCGCAGAGTGGTGAGGAGGCAGGGCGGGGTAGCTCTCAAGGGTGTTCTGGTGGGCGCGCTGGTAGAAGTTGAACAGGCTGTCCTCCTTGTCCTCGTACATCTGCACACCCAGGGGCGCAGGGCGGAGCAGAGCGGTGAGGAGGGAAGGCAGGGTAGCTCTTAAGGGTGTTTTGGTGGGCGCGCTGGTAGCAGTTGAACAGGCTGTCCTCCTTGTCCTCGTACATCTGCACACCCAGGGGCGCAGAGTGGAGCAGAGAGGTAAGGAGGGAAGGCGGGGTAGCTCTCAAGGGTGTTCTGGTGGGCGCGCTGGTAGCAGTTGAACAGGCTGTCCTCCTTGTCCTCGTACATCTGCACACCCAGGGGCACAGAGCGGAGCAGAGCGGTGAGGAGGGAAGGCGGGGTAGCTCTCAAGGGTGTTCTGGTGGGTGCGCTGGTAGCAGTTGAACAGGCTGTCCTCCTTGTCCTCGTACATCTGCACACCCAGGGGCGCAGAGCAGAGCTGAGCGGTGAGAAGGGAAGGCAGGGTAGCTCTCAAGGGTGTTCTGGTGGGCGCGCTGGTAGAAGTTGAACAAGCTGTCCTCCTTGTCCTCGTACATCTGCACACCCACGGGCGAAGAGCGATGAGGAAGGAAGGCGGGGTAGCTCTCAAGGGTGTTCTGGTGGGCGCGCTGGTAGCAGTTGAATAGGCTGTCCTCCTTGTCCTTGTACATCTGCACACCCAGGGGCGCAGAGTGGTGAGGAGGCAAGGCGGGGTAGCTCTCAAGGGTGTTCTGGTGGGCGCGCTGGTAGAAGTTGAACAGGCTGTCCTCCTTGTCCTCGTACATCTGCACACCCAGGGGCGCAGAGCGGAGCAGAGCGGTGAGGAGGGAAGGCAGGGTAGCTCTTAAGGGTGTTTTGGTGGGCGCGCTGGTAGCAGTTGAACAGGCTGTCCTCCTTGTCCTCGTACATCTGCACACCCAGGGGCGCAGAGTGGAGCAGAGAGGTAAGGAGGGAAGGCGGGGTAGCTCTCAAGGGTGTTCTGGTGGGCGCGCTGGTAGCAGTTGAACAGGCTGTCCTCCTTGTCCTCGTACATCTGCACACCCAGGGGCGCAGAGCGGAGCTGAGCGGTGAGAAGGGAAGGCAGGGTAGCTCTCAAGGGTGTTCTGGTGGGCGCGCTGGTAGAAGTTGAACAAGCTGTCCTCCTTGTCCTCGTACATCTGCACACCCACGGGCGAAGAGCGATGAGGAAGGAAGGCAAGGTAGCTCTCAAGGGTGTTCTGGTGGGCGCGCTGGTAGCAGTTGAACAGGCTGTCCTCCTTGTCCTTGTACATCTGCACACCCAGGGGCGCAGAGTGGTGAGGAGGCAAGGCGGGGTAGCTCTCAAGGGTGTTCTGGTGGGCGCGCTGGTAGAAGTTGAACAGGCTGTCCTCCTTGTCCTCGTACATCTGCACACCCAGGGGCGCAGAGCGGAGCAGAGCGGTGAGGAGGGAAGGCGGGGTAGCTCTTAAGGGTGTTTTGGTGGGCGCACTGGTAGCAGTTGAACAGGCTGTCCTCCTTGTCCTCGTACATCTGCACACCCAGGGGCGCAGAGTGGAGCAGAGAGGTGAGGAGGGAAGGCGGGGTAGCTCTCAAGGGTGTTCTGGTGGGCGCGCTGGTAGCAGTTGAACAGGCTGTCCTCCTTGTCCTCGTACATCTGCACACCCAGGGGCACAGAGCGGAGAAGAGCGGTGAGGAGGGAAGGCGGGGTAGCTCTCAAGGGTGTTCTGGTGGGTGCGCTGGTAGCAGTTGAACATGCTGTCCTCCTTGTCCTCGTACATCTGCACACCCAGGGGCGCAGAGCGGAGCTGAGCGGTGAGAAGGGAAGGCGGGGTAGCTCTCAAGGGTGTTCTGGTGGGCGCGCTGGTAGAAGTTGAACAGGCTGTCCTCCTTGTCCTCGTACATCTGCACACCCAGGGGCGCAGAGCGGAGCAGAGCGGTGAGGAGGGAAGGCGGGGTAGCTCGTAAGGGTGTTTTGGTGGGCGCGCTGGTAGCAGTTGAACAGGCTGTCCTCCTTGTCCTCGTACATCTGCACACCCAGGGGCGCAGAGTGGAGCAGAGAGGTGAGGAGGGAAGGCGGGGTAGCTCTCAAGGGTGTTCTGGTGGGCGCGCTGGTAGCAGTTGAACAGGCTGTCCTCCTTGTCCTCATACATCTGCACACCCAGGGACACAGAGCGGAGCAGAGCGGTGAGGAGGGAAGGCGGGTTAGCTCTCAAGGGTGTTCTGGTGGGTGCGCTGGTAGCAGTTGAACAGGCTGTCCTCCTTGTCCTCGTACATCTGCACACCCAGGGGCGCAGAGCGGAGCTGAGCGGTGAGAAGGGAAGGCGGGGTAGCTCTCAAGGGTGTTCTGGTGGGCGCGCTGGTAGAAGCTGAACAGGCTGTCCTCCTTGTCCTCGTACATCTGCACACCCACGGGCGAAGAGCGATGAGGAAGGAAGGCGGGGTAGCTCTCAAGGGTGTTCTGGTGAGCGCGCTGGTAGCAGTTGAACACGCTGTCCTCCTTGTCCTCGTACATCTGCACACCCAGGGGCGCAGAGTGGAGCAGAGAGGTGAGGAGGGAAGGCGGGGTAGCTCTCAAGGGTGTTCTGGTGGGCGCGCTGGTAGCAGTTGAACAGGCTGTCCTCCTTGTCCTCGTACATCTGCACACCCAGGGGCACAGAGCGGAGAAGAGCGGTGAGGAGGGAAGGCGGGGTAGCTCTCAAGGGTGTTCTGGTGGGTGCGCTGGTAGCAGATGAACATGCTGTCCTCCTTGTCCTCGTACATGTGCACACCCAGGGGCGCAGAGCGGAGCTGAGCGGTGAGAAGGGAAGGCGGGGTAGCTCTCAAGGGTGTTCTGGTGGGCGCGCTGGTAGAAGTTGAACAGGCTGTCCTCCTTGTCCTCGTACATCTGCACACCCACGGGCAAAGAGCGATGAGGAAGGAAGGCGGGGTAGCTCTCAAGAGTGTTCTGGTGAGCGCGCTGGTAGTAGTTGAACAGGCTGTCCTCCTTGTCCTCGTACATCTGCACACCCAGGGGCGCAGAGTGGAGCAGAGCGGTGAGGAGGGAAGGCGGGGTAGCTCTCAAGGGTGTTCTGGTGGGCGCGCTGGTAGCAGTTGAACAGGCTGTCCTCCTTGTCCTCGTACATCTGCACACCCAGGGGCACAGAGCGGAGAAGAGCGGTGAGGAGGGAAGGCGGGGTAGCTCTCAAGGGTGTTCTGGTGGGTGCGCTGGTAGCAGTTGAACATGCTGTCCTCCTTGTCCTCGTACATCTGCACACCCAGGGGCGCAGAGCGGAGCTGAGCGGTGAGAAGGGAAGGCGGGGTAGCTCTCAAGGGTGTTCTGGTGGGCGCGCTGGTAGAAGTTGAACAGGCTGTCCTCCTTGTCCTCGTACATCTGCACACCCACGGGCGAAGAGCGATGAGGAAGGAAGGCGGGGTAGCTCTCAAGGGTGTTCTGGTGAGCGCGCTGGTAGCAGTTGAACAGGCTGTCCTCCTTGTCCTCGTACATCTGCACACCCAGGGGCGCAGAGTGGAGCAGAGAGGTGAGGAGGGAAGGCGGGGTAGCTCTCAAGGGTGTTCTGGTGGGCGCGCTGGTAGCAGTTGAACAGGCTGTCCTCCTTGTCCTCGTACATCTGCACACCCAGGGGCACAGAGCGGAGAAGAGCGGTGAGGAGGGAAGGCGGGGTAGCTCTCAAGGGTGTTCTGGTGGGTGCGCTGGTAGCAGTTGAACAGGCTGTCCTCCTTGTCCTCGTACATCTGCACACCCAGGGGCGCAGAGCGGAGCTGAGCGGTGAGAAGGGAAGGCGGGGTAGCTCTCAAGGGTGTTCTGGTGGGCGCGCTGGTAGAAGTTGAACAGGCTGTCCTCCTTGTCCTTGTACATCTGCACACCCACGGGCGAAGAGCGATGAGGAAGGAAGGCGGGGTAGCTCTCAAGGGTGTTCTGGTGAGCGCGCTGGTAGCAGTTGAACAGGCTGTCCTCCTTGTCCTCGTACATCTGCACACCCAGGGGCGCAGAGCGGAGCTGAGCGGTGAGAAGGGAAGGCGGGGTAGCTCTCAAGGGTGTTCTGGTGGGCGCGCTGGTAGAAGTTGAACAAGCTGTCCTCCTTGTCCTCGTACATCTGCACACCCACGGGCGAAGAGCGATGAGGAAGGAAGGCGGGGTAGCTCTCAAGGGTGTTCTGGTGGGCGCGCTGGTAGCAGTTGAACAGGCTGTCCTCCTTGTCCTTGTACATCTGCACACCCAGGGGCGCAGAGTGGTGAGGAGGCAAGGCGGGGTAGCTCTCAAGGGTGTTCTGGTGGGCGCGCTGGAAGAAGTTGAACAGGCTGTCCTCCTTGTCCTTGTACATCTGCACACCCAGGGGCGCAGAGCGGAGCAGAGCGGTGAGGAGGTAAGGCGGGGTAGCTCTTAAGGGTGTTTTGGTGGGCGCGCTGGTAGCAGTTGAACAGGCTGTCCTCCTTGTCCTTGTACATCTGCACACCCAGGGGTGCAGAGTGGAGCAGAGAGGTGAGGAGGGAAGGCGGGGTAGCTCTCAAGGGTGTTCTGGTGGGCGCGCTGGTAGCAGTTGAACAGGCTGTCCTCCTTGTCCTCGTACATCTGCACACCCAGGGGCGCAGAGCGGAGCTGAGCGGTGAGAAGGGAAGGCGGGGTAGCTCTCAAGGGTGTTCTGGTGGGCGCGCTGGTAGAAGTTGAACAGGCTGTCCTCCTTGTCCTCGTACATCTGCACACCCACGGGCGAAGAGCGATGAGGAAAGAAGGCGGGGTAGCTCTCAAGGGTGTTCTGATGGGCGCGCTGGTAGCAGTTGAACAGGCTGTCCTCCTTGTCCTCGTACATCTGCACACCCAGGGGCACAGAGCGGAGAAGAGCGGTGAGGAGGGAAGGCGGGGTAGCTCTCAAGGGTGTTCTGGTGGGTGCGCTGGTAGCAGTTGAACAGGCTGTCCTCCTTGTCCTCGTACATCTGCACATCCAGGGGCGCAGAGCGGAGCTGAGCGGTGAGAAGGGAAGGCGGGGTAGCTCTCAAGGGTGTTCTGGTGGGCGCGCTGGTAGAAGTTGAACAGGCTGTCCTCCTTGTCCTTGTACATCTGCACACCCACGGGCGAAGAGCGATGAGGAAGGAAGGCGGGGTAGCTCTCAAGGGTGTTCAAGTGAGCGCGCTGGTAGCAGTTGAACAGGCTGTCCTCCTTGTCCTCGTACATCTGCACACCCAGGGGCGCAGAGCGGAGCTGAGCGGTGAGAAGGGAAGGCGGGGTAGCTCTCAAGGGTGTTCTGGTGGGCGCGCTGGTAGAAGTTGAACAAGCTGTCCTCCTTGTCCTCGTACATCTGCACACCCACGGGCGAAGAGCGATGAGGAAGGGAGGCGGGGTAGCTCTCAAGGGTGTTCTGGTGGGCGCGCTGGTAGCAGTTGAACAGGCTGTCCTCCTTGTCCTTGTACATCTGCACACCCAGGGGCGCAGAGTGGTGAGGAGGCAAGGTGGGGTAGCTCTCAAGGGTGTTCTGGTGGGCGCGCTGGTAGAAGTTGAACAGGCTGTCCTCCTTGTCCTTGTACATCTGCACACCCAGGGGCGCAGAGCGGAGCAGAGCCGTGAGGAGGGAAGGCGGGGTAGCTCTCAAGGGTGTTCTGGTGGGCGCGCTGGTAGCAGTTGAACAGGCTGTCCTCCTTGTCCTCGTACATCTGCACACCCAGGGGCACAGAGCGGAGAAGAGCGGTGAGGAGGGAAGGCGGGGTAGCTCTCAAGGGTGTTCTGGTGGGTGCGCTGGTAGCAGTTGAACAGGCTGTCCTCCTTGTCCTCGTACATCTGCACACCCAGGGGCGCAGAGCGGAGCTGAGCGGTGAGAAGGGAAGGCGGGGTAGCTCTCAAGGGTGTTCTGGTGGGCGCGCTGGTAGAAGTTGAACAGGCTGTCCTCCTTGTCCTTGTACATCTGCACACCCACGGGCGAAGAGCGATGAGGAAGGAAGGCGGGGTAGCTCTCAAGGGTGTTCTGGTGAGCGCGCTGGTAGCAGTTGAACAGGCTGTCCTCCTTGTCCTCGTACATCTGCACACCCAGGGGCGCAGAGCGGAGCTGAGCGGTGAGAAGGGAAGGCGGGGTAGCTCTCAAGGGTGTTCTGGTGGGCGCGCTGGTAGAAGTTGATCAAGCTGTCCTCCTTGTCCTCGTACATCTGCACACCCACGGGCGAAGAGCGATGAGGAAGGAAGGCGGGGTAGCTCTCAAGGGTGTTCTGGTGGGCGCGCTGGTAGCAGTTGAACAGGCTGTCCTCCTTGTCCTTGTACATCTGCACACCCAGGGGCACAGAGTGGTGAGGAGGCAAGGCGGGGTAGCTCTCAAGGGTGTTCTGGTGGGCGCGCTGGTAGAAGTTGAACAGGCTGTCCTCCTTGTCCTTGTACATCTGCACACCCAGGGGCGCAGAGCGGAGCAGAGCGGTGAGGAGGTAAGGCGGGGTAGCTCTTAAGGGTGTTTTGGTGGGCGCGCTGGTAGCAGTTGAACAGGCTGTCCTCCTTGTCCTTGTACATCTGCACACCCAGGGGTGCAGAGTGGAGCAGAGAGGTGAGGAGGGAAGGCGGGGTAGCTCTCAAGGGTGTTCTGGTGGGCGCGCTGGTAGCAGTTGAACAGGCTGTCCTCCTTGTCCTCGTACATCTGCACACCCAGGGGCACAGAGCGGAGAAGAGCGGTGAGGAGGGAAGGCGGGGTAGCTCTCAAGGGTGTTCTGGTGGGTGCGCTGGTAGCAGTTGAACAGGCTGTCCTCCTTGTCCTCGTACATCTGCACACCCAGGGGCGCAGAGCGGAGCTGAGCGGTGAGAAGGGAAGGCGGGGTAGCTCTCAAGGGTGTTCTGGTGGGCGCGCTGGTAGAAGTTGAACAGGCTGTCCTCCTTGTCCTCGTACATCTGCACACCCACGGGCGAAGAGCGATGAGGAAAGAAGGCGGGGTAGCTCTCAAGGGTGTTCTGGTGGGCGCGCTGGTAGCAGTTGAACAGGCTGTCCTCCTTGTCCTCGTACATCTGCACACCCAGGGGCACAGAGCGGAGAAGAGCGGTGAGGAGGGAAGGCGGGGTAGCTCTCAAGGGTGTTCTGGTGGGTGCGCTGGTAGCAGTTGAACAGGCTGTCCTCCTTGTCCTCGTACATCTGCACATCCAGGGGCGCAGAGCGGAGCTGAGCGGTGAGAAGGGAAGGCGGGGTAGCTCTCAAGGGTGTTCTGGTGGGCGCGCTGGTAGAAGTTGAACAGGCTGTCCTCCTTGTCCTTGTACATCTGCACACCCACGGGCGAAGAGCGATGAGGAAGGAAGGCGGGGTAGCTCTCAAGGGTGTTCAAGTGAGCGCGCTGGTAGCAGTTGAACAGGCTGTCCTCCTTGTCCTCGTACATCTGCACACCCAGGGGCGCAGAGCGGAGCTGAGCGGTGAGAAGGGAAGGCGGGGTAGCTCTCAAGGGTGTTCTGGTGGGCGCGCTGGTAGAAGTTGAACAAGCTGTCCTCCTTGTCCTCGTACATCTGCACACCCACGGGCGAAGAGCGATGAGGAAGGGAGGCGGGGTAGCTCTCAAGGGTGTTCTGGTGGGCGCGCTGGTAGCAGTTGAACAGGCTATCCTCCTTGTCCTTGTACATCTGCACACCCAGGGGCGCAGAGTGGTGAGGAGGCAAGGTGGGGTAGCTCTCAAGGGTGTTCTGGTGGGCGCGCTGGTAGAAGTTGAACAGGCTGTCCTCCTTGTCCTTGTACATCTGCACACCCAGGGGCGCAGAGCGGAGCAGAGCCGTGAGGAGGGAAGGCGGGGTAGCTCTTAAGGGTGTTTTGGTGGGCGCGCTGGTAGCAGTTGAACAGGCTGTCCTCCTTGTCCTTGTACATCTGCACACCCAGGGGCGCAGAGTGGAGCAGAGAGGTGAGGAGGGAAGGCGGGGTAGCTGTCAAGGGTGTTCTGGTGGGCGCGCTGGTAGCAGTTGAACAGGCTGTCCTCCTTGTCCTCGTACATCTGCACACCCAGGGGCACAGAGCGGAGAAGAGCGGTGAGGAGGGAAGGCGGGGTAGCTCTCAAGGGTGTTCTGGTGGGTGCGCTGGTAGCAGTTGAACAGGCTGTCCTCCTTGTCCTCGTACATCTGCACACCCAGGGGCGCAGAGCGGAGCTGAGCAGTGAGAAGGGAAGGCGGGGTAGCTCTCAAGGGTGTTCCGGTGGGCGCGCTGGTAGAAGTTGAACAGGCTGTCCTCCTTGTCCTCGTACATCTGCACACCCACGGGTGAAGAGTAGGAGGAAGAAAGGCAGGGTAGCTCTCGAGGGTGTTCTGGTGGGCGCGCTAGTAGCAGTTGAACATGCTGTCCTCCTTGTCCTCGTACATCTGCACACCCAGGGGCGCAGATTGGAGCAGAGCGGTGAGGAGGGAAGACGGGGTAGCTCTCAAGGGTGTTCTGGTGTGTGCGTTGGTAGCAGTTGAACAGGCTGTCCTCCTTGTCCTTGTACATCTGTACACCCAGGGGCGCAGAGTGGTGAGGAGGGAAGGCGGGGTAGCTCTCAAGGGTGTTCTGGTGGGTGCGCTGGTAGAAGTTGAACAGGTTGTCCTCCTTGTCCTCGTACATCTGCACACCCAGGGGCGCAGAGCGGAGCAGAGCGGTGAGGAGGGAAGGCGGGGTTGCTCTAAAGGGTGTTCTGGTGGGCGCGCTGGTAGCAGTTGAACATGCTGTCCTCCTTGTCCTCGTACATCTGCACACCCACGGGTGAAGAGCAGTGAGGAAGAAAGGCAGGGTAGCTCTCGAGGGTGTTCTGGTGGGCGCGCTAGTAGCAGTTGAACATGCTGTCCTCCTTGTCCTCGTACATCTGCACACCCAGGGGCGCAGATTGGAGCAGAGCGGTGAGGAGGGAAGGCGGGGTTGCTCTCAAGGATGTTCTGGTGGGTGTGCTGGTAGCAATTGAACAGGCTGTCCTCCTTGTCCTCGTACATCTGCACACCTAGGGGCGCAGAGCGGAGCAGAGAGGTGAGGAGGGAAGGGGGGGTAGCTCTAAAGGGTGTTCAGGTGGGCGCGCTGGTAGCAGTTGAACAGGCTGTCCTCCTTGTCCTCGTACATCTGCACACCCACGGGTGAAGAGCAGTGAGGAAGAAATGCAGGGTAGCTCTCAAGGGTGTTCTGGTGGGCGCGCTAGTAGCAGTTGAACATGCTGTCCTCCTTGTCCACGTACATCTGCACACCCAGGGGCGCAGATCGGAGCAGAGCGGTGAGGAGGGAAGGCGGGGTAGCTCTCATGGGTGTTCTGGTGGGCGCGCTGGTAGCAGATGAACAGGCTGTCCTCCTTGTCCTCGTACATCTGCACACCCAGGGGCGCATAGCAGAGCAGAGCGGTGAGGAGGGAAGGCGGGGTAGCTCTCAAGGGTGTTCTGGTGGGCGCGCTGGTAGCAATTGAACAGGCTGTCCTCCTTGTCCTCGTACATCTGCACACCCAGGGGCGCATGGCAGAGCAGAGCGGTGAGGAGGGAACGCGGGGTAGCTCTCAAGGGTGTTCTGGTGGGCACGCTGGTAGCAGTTGAACAGGCTGTCCTCCTTGTTCTCGTACGTCTACAGACCCAGGGGCGCAGAGCGGAGCAGAGCGGTGAGGAGGGAAGGCGGGGTAGCTCTCAAGGGTGTTTTGGTGGGTGCGCTGGTAGCAATTGAACAGGCTGTCCTCCTTGTCCTCGTACATCTGCACACCCAGGGGCGCAGAGTGGTGAGGAGGGAAGGCGGGGTAGCTCTCAAGGGTGTTCTGGTGGGCGCGCTGGTAGAAGTTGAACAGGCTGTCCTCCTTGTCCTCGTACATCTGCACACCCACGGGTGAAGAGCAGTGAGGAAGAAATGCAGGGTAGCTCTCAAGGGTGTTCTGGTGGGCGCGCTAGTAGCAGTTGAACATGCTGTCCTCCTTGTCCTCGTACATCTGCACACCCAGGGGCGCAGATCGGAGTAGAGCGGTGAGGAGGGAAGGCAGGGTAGCTCTCAAGGGTGTTCTAGTGGGTGCGTTGGTAGCAGTTGAACAGGCTGTCCTCCTTGTCCTTGTACATCTGCACACCCAGGGGCGCAGAGGGGTGAGGAGGGAAGGCGGGGTAGCTCTCAAGGGTGTTATGGTGGGTGCGCTGGTAGAAGTTGAATAGGCTGTCCTCCTTGTCCTCGTACATCTGCACACCCAGGGGCGCAGAGCGGAGCAGAGCGGTGAGGAGGGAAGGCGGGGTAGCTCTCAAGGGTGTTCTGGTGGGCGCGCTGGTAGCAGTTAAACATGCTGTCCTCCTTGTCCTCGTACATCTGCACACCCAGGGGCGCAGATCGGAGCAGAGCGGTGAGGAGGGAAGGCGGGGTAGCTCTCAAGGGTGTTCTGGTGGGCGCGCTGGTAGCAGTTGAACAGGCTGTCCTCCTTGTTCTCGTACGTCTACACACCCAGGGGCGCAGAGCGGAGCAGAGCGGTGAGGAGGGAAGGCGGGGTAGCTCTCAAGGGTGTTTTGGTGGGTGCGCTGGTAGCAATTGAACAGGCTGTCCTCCTTGTCCTCGTACATCTGCACACCCAGGAGCGTGAAGCGGAGCAGAGTGGTGAGAAGGGAAGGCGGGGTAGCTCTCAAGGGTGTTCTGGTGGGCGCGCTGGTAGAAGTTGAACAGGCTGTCCTCCTTGTCCGCGTACATCTGCACACCCACGGGTGAAGAGCAGTGAGGAAGAAATGCAGGGTAGCTCTCAAGGGTGTTCTGGTGGGCGCGCTAGTACCAGTTGAACATGCTGTCCTCCTTGTCCTCGTACATCTGCACACCCAGGGGCGCAGAGCGGAGCTGAGCAGTGAGAAGGGAAGGCGGGGTAGCTCTCAAGGGTGTTCCGGTGGGCGCGCTGGTAGAAGTTGAACAGGCTGTCCTCCTTGTCCTCGTACATCTGCACACCCACGGGTGAAGAGTAGGAGGAAGAAAGGCAGGGTAGCTCTCGAGGGTGTTCTGGTGGGCGCGCTAGTAGCAGTTGAACATGCTGTCCTCCTTGTCCTCGTACATCTGCACACCCAGGGGCGCAGATTGGAGCAGAGCGGTGAGGAGGGAAGACGGGGTAGCTCTCAAGGGTGTTCTGGTGTGTGCGTTGGTAGCAGTTGAACAGGCTGTCCTCCTTGTCCTTGTACATCTGTACACCCAGGGGCGCAGAGTGGTGAGGAGGGAAGGCGGGGTAGCTCTCAAGGGTGTTCTTGTGGGTGCGCTGGTAGAAGTTGAACAGGTTGTCCTCCTTGTCCTCGTACATCTGCACACCCAGGGGCGCAGAGCGGAGCAGAGCGGTGAGGAGGGAAGGCGGGGTTGCTCTAAACGGTGTTCTGGTGGGCGCGCTGGTAGCAGTTGAACATGCTGTCCTCCTTGTCCTCGTACATCTGCACACCCACGGGTGAAGAGCAGTGAGGAAGAAAGGCAGGGTAGCTCTCGAGGGTGTTCTGGTGGGCGCGCTAGTAGCAGTTGAACATGCTGTCCTCCTTGTCCTCGTACATCTGCACACCCAGGGGCGCAGATTGGAGCAGAGCGGTGAGGAGGGAAGGCGGGGTTGCTCTCAAGGATGTTCTGGTGGGTGTGCTGGTAGCAATTGAACAGGCTGTCCTCCTTGTCCTCGTACATCTGCACACCTAGGGGCGCAGAGCGGAGCAGAGAGGTGAGGAGGGAAGGGGGGGTAGCTCTAAAGGGTGTTCAGGTGGGCGCGCTGGTAGCAGTTGAACAGGCTGTCCTCCTTGTCCTCGTACATCTGCACACCCAGGGGCGCATGGCAGAGCAGAGCGGTGAGGAGGGAACGCGGGGTAGCTCTCAAGGGTGTTCTGGTGGGCGCGCTGGTAGCAGTTGAACAGGCTGTCCTCCTTGTTCTCGTACGTCTACACACCCAGGGGCGCAGAGCGGAGCAGAGCGGTGAGGAGGGAAGGCGGGGTAGCTCTCAAGGGTGTTTTGGTGGGTGCACTGGTAGCAATTGAACAGGCTGTCCTCCTTGTCCTCGTACATCTGCACACCCAGGGGCGCAGAGTGGTGAGGAGGGAAGGCGGGGTAGCTCTCAAGGGTGTTCTGGTGGGCGCGCTGGTAGAAGTTGAACAGGCTGTCCTCCTTGTCCTCGTACATCTGCACACCCACGGGTGAAGAGCAGTGAGGAAGAAATGCAGGGTAGCTCTCAAGGGTGTTCTGGTGGGCGCGCTAGTAGCAGTTGAACATGCTGTCCTCCTTGTCCTCGTACATCTGCACACCCAGGGGCGCAGATCGGAGTAGAGCGGTGAGGAGGGAAGGCAGGGTAGCTCTCAAGGGTGTTCTAGTGGGTGCGTTGGTAGCAGTTGAACAGGCTGTCCTCCTTGTCCTTGTACATCTGCACACCCAGGGGCGCAGAGGGGTGAGGAGGGAAGGCGGGGTAGCTCTCAAGGGTGTTATGGTGGGTGCGCTGGTAGAAGTTGAATAGGCTGTCCTCCTTGTCCTCGTACATCTGCACACCTAGGGGCGCAGAGCGGAGCAGAGAGGTGAGGAGGGAAGGGGGGGTAGCTCTAAAGGGTGTTCAGGTGGGCGCGCTGGTAGCAGTTGAACAGGCTGTCCTCCTTGTCCTCGTACATCTGCACACCCAGGGGCGCATGGCAGAGCAGAGCGGTGAGGAGGGAACGCGGGGTAGCTCTCAAGGGTGTTCTGGTGGGCGCGCTGGTAGCAGTTGAACAGGCTGTCCTCCTTGTTCTCGTACGTCTACACACCCAGGGGCGCAGAGCGGAGCAGAGCGGTGAGGAGGGAAGGCGGGGTAGCTCTCAAGGGTGTTTTGGTGGGTGCACTGGTAGCAATTGAACAGGCTGTCCTCCTTGTCCTCGTACATCTGCACACCCAGGGGCGCAGAGTGGTGAGGAGGGAAGGCGGGGTAGCTCTCAAGGGTGTTCTGGTGGGCGCGCTGGTAGAAGTTGAACAGGCTGTCCTCCTTGTCCTCGTACATCTGCACACCCACGGGTGAAGAGCAGTGAGGAAGAAATGCAGGGTAGCTCTCAAGGGTGTTCTGGTGGGCGCGCTAGTAGCAGTTGAACATGCTGTCCTCCTTGTCCTCGTACATCTGCACACCCAGGGGCGCAGATCGGAGTAGAGCGGTGAGGAGGGAAGGCAGGGTAGCTCTCAAGGGTGTTCTAGTGGGTGCGTTGGTAGCAGTTGAACAGGCTGTCCTCCTTGTCCTTGTACATCTGCACACCCAGGGGCGCAGAGGGGTGAGGAGGGAAGGCGGGGTAGCTCTCAAGGGTGTTATGGTGGGTGCGCTGGTAGAAGTTGAATAGGCTGTCCTCCTTGTCCTTGTACATCTGCACACCCAGGGGCGCAGAGCGGAGCAGAGCGGTGAGGAGGGAAGGCGGGGTAGCTCTCAAGGGTGTTCTGGTGGGCGCGCTGGTAGCAGTTGAACATGCTGTCCTCCTTGTCCTCGTACATCTGCACACCCAGGGGCGCAGATCGGAGCAGAGCGGTGAGGAGGGAAGGCGGGGTAGCTCTCAAGGGTGTTCTGGTGGGCGCGCTGGTAGCAGTTGAACAGGCTGTCCTCCTTGTTCTCGTACGTCTACACACCCAGGGGCGCAGAGCGGAGCAGAGCGGTGAGGAGGGAAGGCGGGGTAGCTCTCAAGGGTGTTTTGGTGGGTGCGCTGGTAGCAATTGAACAGGCTGTCCTCCTTGTCCTCGTACATCTGCACACCCAGGAGCGTGAAGCGGAGCAGAGTGGTGAGAAGGGAAGGCGGGGTAGCTCTCAAGGGTGTTCTGGTGGGCGCGCTGGTAGAAGTTGAACAGGCTGTCCTCCTTGTCCTCGTACATCTGCACACCCACGGGTGAAGAGCAGTGAGGAAGAAATGCAGGGTAGCTCTCAAGGGTGTTCTGGTGGGCGCGCTAGTAGCAGTTGAACATGCAGTCCTCCTTGTCCACGTACATCTGCACACCCAGGGGCGCAGATCGGAGCAGAGCGGTGAGGAGGGAAGGCGGGGTAGCTCTCATGGGTGTTCTGGTGGGCGCGCTGGTAGCAGATGAACAGGCTGTCCTCCTTGTCCTCGTACATCTGCACACCCAGGGGCGCATAGCAGAGCAGAGCGGTGAGGAGGGAAGGCGGGGTAGCTCTCAAGGGTGTTCTGGTGGGCGCGCTGGTAGCAATTGAACAGGCTGTCCTCCTTGTCCTCGTACATCTGCACACCTAGGGGCGCAGAGCGGAGCAGAGAGGTGAGGAGGGAAGGGGGGGTAGCCCTCAAGGGTGTTCAGGTGGGCGCGCTGGTAGCAGTTGAACATGCTGTCCTCCTTGTCCTTGTACATCTGCACACCCAAGGGCGCAGATCGGAGCAGAGCGGTGAGGACAGAAGGCGGGGTAGCTCTCAAGGGTGTTCTGGTGGGTGCGCTGGTAGCAGTTGAAGAGGCTGTCCTCCTTGTCCTTGTACATCCGCACACCCAGGGGCGCAGAGTGGTGAGGAGGGAAGGCGGGGTAGCTCTCTAGGGTGTTCTGGTGAGCGCGCTGGTAGAAGTTGAACAGGCTGTCCTCCTTGTCCTCGTACATCTGCACACCCAGGGGCGCAGAGCGGAGTAGAGCGGTGAGGAGGGAAGGCGGGGTAGCTCTTAAGGGTGTTCGGGTGGGCGCGCTAATAGCAGTTGAACAGGCTGTCCTCCTTGTCCTCGTTCATCTACACACCCAGGGGCGCAGAGCGGAACAGAGCTGTGAGGAGGGAAGGCGGGGTAGCTCTCAAGGGTGTTCTGGTGGGCGCGCTGGTAGCAGTTGAACAGGCTGTCCTCCTTGTCCTCATACATCTGCACACCCAGGGGCGAAGAGCGGAGCAGAGCGGTGAGGAGGGAAGGCGGGGTAGCTCTCAAGGGTGTTTTGGTGGGCGCGCCGGTAGCAGTTGAACAGGCTGTCCTCCTTGTCTTCGTTCATCTGCACACCCTGGGGCGCATAGCGGAGCAGAGCGGTGAGGAGGAAGGCGGGGTAGCTCTCAAGGGTGTTCTGGTGGGCGCGCCGGTAGCAGTTGAACAGGATGTCCTTGTCCTCGTGCATCTGCACACCCAGGGGCGCAGAGCGGAGCAGAGCAGTGAGGAGGGAAGGTGGGGTAGCTCTCAAGGGTGTTCTGGTGGGCATGCTGGTAGAAGTTGAACAGGCTGTCCTCCTTGTCCTCGTACATCTGCACACCCAGGGGCACAGAGCAGAGCAGAGCAGTGAGGAGGGAAGGCGGGGTAGCTCTCAAGGGTGTTCTGGTGGGCGCGCTGGTAGCAGTTGAACAGGCTGTCCTCCTTGTCCACGTACATCTCCACACCCAGGGGCGAAGAGCGGAGCAGAGCGGTGAGGAGGGAAGGCGGGGTAGCTCTCAAGGGTGTTCTGGTGGGCGCGCTGGTAGCAGTTGAACAGGCCGTCCTCCTTGTCCTTGTACATCTGCACACCCCGGGGCTCAGAGCGGAGCAGAGCGGTGAGGAGGGAAGGCGGGGTAGCTCTCAAGGGTATTCTAGTGGGCGCGCTAGTAGCAGTTGAACAGGCTGTCCTCCTTGTCCTTGTACATCTACACACCTAGGGGCTCAGAGCGGAGAAGAGCGGTGAGGAGGAAAGGCAGGGTAGCTCTCAAGGGTGTTCTGCTGAGTGCGCTGGTAGCAGTTGAACAGGCTGTCCTCCTTGTCCTCGTACATCTGCACACCCAGGGGCGCAGAGCGGAGCAGAGCAGTGAGGAGGGAAGGCGGGGTAGCTCTCAAGGGTGTTCTGGTGGGCGCGCTGGTAGTAGTTGAACAGGCTGTCCTCCTTGTCCTCATACATCTGCACACCCAGGGGCGCAGAGCGGAGCAGAGCGGTGAGGAGGGAAGGCATGGTAGCTCTCAAGGGTGTTTTGGTGGGCGCGCTGGTAGCAGTTGAACAGGCTGTCCTCCTTGTCCTCGTACATCTGCACACCCAGGGGCGCAGAGTGGAGCAGAGCGGAGAGGAGGGAAGGCGGGGTAGCTCTCAAGGGTGTTCTGGTGGGCGCGCTGGTAGTAGTTGAACAGGCTGTCCTCCTTGTCCTTATACATCTGCACACCCAGGGGCGCAGAGCGGAGCAGAGCGGTGAGGAGGGAAGGCGGGGTAGCTCTCAAGGGTGTTTTGGTGGGCGCGCTGGTAGCAGTTGAACAGGCTGTCCTCCTTGTCCTCGTACATCTGCACACCCAGGGGCGCAGAGTAGAGCAGAGCGGAGAGGAGGGAAGGCGGGGTAGCTCTTAAGGGTGTTCTGGTGGGCGCGCTGGTAGCAGTTGAAAAGGCTGTCCTCCTTGTCCTAGTACATCTGCACACCCAGGGGCGCAGAGCGGAGCAGAGCGGTGAGGAGGGAAGGCGGGGTAGCTCTCAAGGGTGTTTTGGTGGGCGCGCTGGTAGCAGTTGAAGAGGCTGTCCTCCTTGTCTTCGTTCATCTGCACACCCAGGGGCGCATAGCGGAGCAGAGCGGTGAGGAGGGAAGGCGGGGTAGCTCTCAAGGGTGTTCTGGTGGGCGCGCCGGTAGCAGTTGAACAGGATGTCCTTGTCCTCGTGCATCTCACACCCAGGGGCGCAGAGCGGAGCAGAGCAGTGAGGAGGGAAGGCGGGGTAGCTCTCAAGGGTGTTCTGGTGGGCGTGCTGGTAGAAGTTGAACAGGCTGTCCTCCTTGTCCTCGTACATCTGCACACCCAGGGGCGCAGAGCGGAGCAGAGCGGAGAGGAGGGAAGGCGGGGTAGCTCTTAAGGGTGTTCTGGTGGGCGCGCTGGTAGCAGTTTAACAGGCTGTCCTCCTTGTCCTAGTACATCTGCACACCCAGGGGCGCAGAGCGGAGCAGAGCGGTGAGGAGGGAAGGCGGGGTAGCTCTCAAGGGTGTTCTGGTGGGCGCGCTGGTAGCAGTTGAACAGGCCGTCCTCCTTGTCCTTGTACATCTGCACACCCAGGGGCTCAGAGCGGAGCAGAGCGGTGAGGAGAGAAGGCGGGGTAGCTCTCAAGGGTGTTCTGGTGGGCGTGCTGGTAGCAGTTGAACAGGCTGTCCTCCTTGTCCTCGTACATCTGCACACCCAGGGGCGCAGAGTGTTGAGAAGGGAAGGCGGGGTAGCTCTCAAGCGTATTCTGGTGGGCGCGCTAGTAGCAGTTGAACAGGCTGTCCTCCTTGTCCTTGTACATCTGCACACCTAGGGGCTCAGAGCGGAGCAGAGCGGTGAGGAGGAAAGGCGGGGTAGCTCTCAAGGGTGTTCTGGTGAGTGCGCTGGTAGCAGTTGAACAGGCTGTCCCTCGTACATCTGCACACCCAGGGGCGCAGAGCGGAGCAGAGCAGTGAGGAGGGAAGGCGGGGTAGCTCTCAAGGGTGTTCGGGTGGGCGCGCTAATAGTAGTTGAACAGGCTGTCCTCCTTGTCCTCATTCATCTGCACACCCAGGGGCGCAGAGCGGAGCAGAGCTGTGAGGAGGGAAGGCGGGGTAGCTCTCAAGGGTGTTCTGGTGGGCGCGCTGGTAGCAGTTGAACAGGCTGTCCTCCTTGTCCTCATACATCTGCACACCCAGGGGCGCAGAGCGGAGCAGAGCGGTGAGGAGGGAAGGCGGGGTAGCTCTCAAGGGTGTTTTGGTGGGCGCGCTGGTAGCAGTTGAACAGGCTGTCCTCCTTGTCCTCGTACATCTGCACACCCAGGGGCGCAGAGCGGAGCAGAGCGGTGAGGAGGGAAGGCGGGGTAGCTCTCAAGGGTGTTCTGATGGGCGCGCTGGTAGCAGTTGAACAGGCTGTCCTCCTTGTCCTTGTACATCTGCACACCCAGGGGCTCAGAGTGGAGCAGAGCGGTGAGGAGGGAAGGCGGGGTAGCTCTCAAGGGTGTTCTGGTGGGCGCGCTGGTAGCAGTTGAACAGGCTGTCCTCCTTGTCCTCGTACATCTGCACACCCAGGGGCGCAGAGTGGTGAGGAGGGAAGACGGGGTAGCTCTCAAGGGTATTCTGGTGGGCGCGCTAGTAGCAGTTGAACAGGTTGTCCTCCTTGTCCTTGTACATCTGCACACATAGGGGCTCAGAGCGGAGCAGAGCGGTGAGGAGGAAAGGCGGGGTAGCTCTCAAGGGTGTTCTGGTGAGTGCACTGGTAGCAGTTGAACAGGCTGTCCTCCTTGTCCTCGTACATCTGCACACCCTGGGGCGCAGAGCGGAGCAGAGCAGTGAGGAGGGAAGGCGGGGTAGCTCTCAAGGGTGTTCGGGTGGGCGCGCTAATAGCAGTTGAACAGGCTGTCCTCCTTGTCCTCGTTCATCTGCACACCCAGGGGCGCAGAGCGGAGCAGAGCGGTGAGGAGGGAAGGTGGGGTAGCTCTCAAGGGTGTTCTGGTGGGCGCGCTGGTAGCAGTTGAACAGGCTGTCCTCCTTGTCCTCATACATCTGCACACCCAGGGGCGCAGAGCGGAGCAGAGCAGTGAGGAGGGAAGGCGGGGTAGCTCTCAAGGGTGTTTTGGTGGGCGCGCTGGTAGCAGTTGAACAGGCTGTCCTCCTTGTCCTCGTACATCTGCACACCCAGGGGCGCAGAGCGAAGCAGAGCGGTGAGGAGGGAAGGCGGGGTAGCTCTCAAGCGTGTTCTGGTGGGCGCGCTGGTAGCAGTTTAACAGGCTGTCCTCCTTGTCCTCGTACATCTGCACACCCAGGGGCGCAGAGCGGAGCAGAGCGGTGAGGAGGGAAGGCGGGGTAGCTCTCAAGGGTGTTCTGGTGGGCGCGCTGGTAGCAGTTGAACAGGCTGTCCTCCTTGTCCTCGTACATCTGCACACCCAGGGGCGCAGAGCGGAGCAGAGCGGTGAGGAGGGAAGGCGGGGTAGCTCTCAAAGGTGTTCTGGTGAGCACGCTAGTAGCAGTTGAACGGGCTGTCCTCCTTGTCCTCGTACATCTGCACACCCAGGGGCGCAAAGTGGTGAGGAGGGAAGGCGGGGTAGCTCTCAAGGGTGTTCTGGTGGGCGCGCTGGTAGCAGTGGAACAGGCTATCCTCCTTGTCCTCGTACATCTGCACACCTAGGGGCGCTGACCGGAGCAGAGCGGTGAGGAGGGAAGGCGGGGTAGCTCTTAAGGGTGTTCTGGTGGGCGTGCTGGTAACAGTTGAAAAGGCTGTCCTCCTTGTCCTGGTACATCTGCACACCTAGGGATGCAGAGCGGAGCAGAGCCGTAAGGAGGGAATGCGGGGTAGCTCTTAAGGGTGTTCTGGTCGACGCGCTGGTAGCAGTTGAAAAGGCTGTCCTCCTTGTCCTCGTACATCTCCACACCCAAGGGTGCAGAGCGGAGCAGAGCGGTGAGGAAGGAATCCGGGGTAGCTCTCAAGGGTGTTCTGGTGGGTGCGCTGGTAGCAGTTGAACAGGATGTCCTCCTTGTCCTCGTACATCTGCACACCCAGGGGCGCAGAGTGGAGCAGAGCGGTAAGGAGGGAAGGCGGGGTAGCTCTCAAGGGTGTTTTGGTGGGCGTGCTATTAGTAGTTGAACAGGCTGTCCTCCTTGTCCTCGTACATCTGCACACCCAGGGGCGCAGAGCGGAGCAGAGCGGTGAGGAGGGAAGACGGGGTAGCTCTCAAGGGTGTTCTAGTGGGCATCTGGTAGCAGTTGAACGGGCTGTCCTCCTTGTCCTTGTACATCTGCACACCCAGGGGCACAGAGTGGAGCCGAGCGGTGAGGAGGGAAGGCGGGGTAGCTCTCAAGGGTGTTTTGGTGGGCGCGCTGGTAGCAGTTGAACAGGCTGTCCTACTTGTCCTCGTACATCTGCACACCCAGGGGCGCAGAGCGGAGCAGAGCAGTGAGGAGGGAAGGCGGGGTAGCTCTCAAGGGTGTTCAGGTGGGCGCGCTGGTAGCAGTTGAACAGGCTGTCCTCCTTGTCTTCGTACATCTGCACACCTAGGGGCGCATAGCGGAGCAGAGCGGTGAGGAGAGAAGGCAGGGTAGCTCTCAAGGGTGTTCTGGTGGGCGCGCTGGTAGCAGTTGAACAAGCTGTCCTCCTTGTCCTCGTACATCTGCACACCCAGGGGCGCAGAGCAGAGCAGAGCGGTGAGGAGGGAAGGCGGGGTAGCTCTCAAGGGTGTTCTGGTGGGGGCGCTGGTAGATGTTGAACAGGCTGTCCTCCTTGTCCTCGTACATCTGCACACCTAGGGGCGCAGAGTGGTGAGGAGGGAAGGCGGGGTAGCTCTCAAGGGTGTTCGATGTGCGCGCTGGTAGAAGTTGAACAGGCTGTTCTCCTTGTCCTCGTACATCTGCACATCCAGGGGCACAGAGCGGAGCAGAGCAGTGAGGAGGGAAGGCGGGGTAGCTCTCAAGGGTGTTCTGGTGGGCGCGCTGGTAGCAGTTGAACAGGCTGTCCTCCTTGTCCTCGTACATCTGCACACCCAGGGGCGCAGAGTGGTGAGGAGGGAAGGCGGGGTAGCTCTCAAGGGTGTTCTGGTGGGCGCGCTGGTAGCAGTTGAACGGGCTGTCCTCCTTGTCCTCGTACATCTGCACACCCAGGGGCGCAGAGTGGTGAGGAGGGAAGGCGGGGTAGCTCTCAAGGGTGTTCTGGTGGGCGCGCTGGTAGCAGTTGAACAGGCTGTCCTCCTTGTCCTTGTACATCTGCACACCCAAGGGCGCAGAGTGGAGCAGAGCGGTGAGGAGGGAAGGCAGGGTAGCTCTCAAGGGTGTTCTGTTGGGCGCGCTGGTAGCAGTTGAACAGGCTGTCCTCCTTGTCCTCGTACATCTGCACACCCAGGGGCGCAGAGCGGAGCAGAGCGGTGAGAAGGGAAGGCGGGGTAGCTCTCAAGGGTGTTCTGGTGGGCGCGCTGGTAGTAGTTGAACAGGCTGTCCTCCTTGTCTTCGTACATCTGCACACCCAGGGGCGTATAGCGGAGCAGAGCGGTGAGGAGGGAAGGCGGGGTAGCTCTCAAGGGTGTTCTGGTGGGCGCGGTGGTAGCAGTTGAACAGGCTGTTTTCCTTGTCCTCGTACATCTGCACACCCAGGGGCGCAGAGCGGAGCAGAGCGGTGAGGAGGGAAGGCGGGGTAGCTCTCAAGGGTGTTCTGGTGTGCGCGCTGGTAGAAGTTGAACAGGCTGTCCTCCATATCCTCGTACATCTGCACACCCAGGGGCACAGAGCGGAGCAGAGCAGTGAGGAGGGAAGGCGGGGTAGCTCTCAAGGGTGTTCTGGTGGGCGCGCTGGTAGCAGTTGAACAGGCTGTCCTCCTTGTCCTCGTACATCTGCACACCCAGGGGCGCAGAGTGGTGAGGAGGGAAGGCGGGGTAGCTCTCAAGGGTGTTCTGGTGGGCGCGCTGGTAGCAGTTTAACAGGCTGTCCTCCTTGTCCTCGTACATCTCCACACCCAGGGGCGTAGAGCAGAGCAGAGCGGTGAGGAGGGAAGGCGGGGTAGCTCTCAAAGGTGTTCTGGTGAGCGCGCTGGTAGCAGTTGAACAGGCTGTCCTCCTTGTCCTCGTACATCTGAACACCCAGGGGCGCAGAGTGGTGAGGAGGGAAGGTGGGGTAGCTCTCAAGGGTGTTCTGGTGGGCGCGCTGGTAGCAGTTGAACAGGCTGTCCTCCTTGTCCTCGTACATCTGCACACCCAGGGGCGCAGAGCGGAGCAGAGCGGTGAGGAGGGAAGGCGGGGTAGCTCTCAAAGGTGTTATGGTGAGCGCGCTGGTAGCAGTTGAACGGGCTGTCCTCCTTGTCCTCGTACATCTGCACACCCAGGGGTGGAGAGCGGAGCAGGGCGGTGAGGAGGGAAGGCGGGGTAGCTCTCAAGGGTGTTCTGGTGGGCGCGCTGGTAGCAGTTGAACAGGCTGTCCTCCTTGTCCTCGTACATCTGCACACCCAGGGGCGTATAGCGGAGCAGAGCGGTGAGGAGGGAAGGCGGGGTAGCTCTCAAGGGTGTTCTGGTGGGCGCGCTGGTAGCAGTTGAACAGGCTGTCCTCCTTGTCCTCGTACATCTGCACACCCAGGGGCGCAAAGTGGAGCAGAGCGGTGAGGAGGGAAGGCAGGGTAGCTCTCAAGGGTGTTCTGTTGGGCGCGCTGGTAGCAGTTGAACAGGATGTCCTCCTTGTCCTCGTACATCTGCACACCCAGGGGCGCGGAGTGGAGCAGAGCGGTGAGGAGGGAAGGCGGGGTAGCTCTCAAGGGTGTTTTTGTGGGCGTCCTGTTAGCAGTTGAACAGGCTGTCCTCCTTGTCCTCGTACATCTGCACACCCAGGGGCGCAGAGCGGAGCAGAGCGGTGAGGAGGGAAGGCGGGGTAGCTCTCAAGGGTGTTGTGGTGGGCTCGCTGGTAGAAGTTGAACAGGCTGTCCTCCTTGTCCTCGTACATCTGCACACCCAGGGGCGCAGAGCAGAGCAGAGCAGTGAGGAGGGAAGGCGGGGTAGCTCTCAAGGGTGTTCTGGTGGGCGCGCTGGTAGCAGTTGAACAGGCTGTCCTCCTTGTCTTCGTACATCTGCACACCCAGGGGCGTATAGCGGAGCAGAGCGGTGAGGAGGGAAGGCGGGGTAGCTCTCAAGGGTGTTCTGGTGGGCGCGCTGGTAGAAGTTGAACAGGCTGTCCTCCTTGTCCTCGTACATCTGCACACCCTGGGGCGCAGAGTGGTGAGATGGGAAGGTGGGGTAGCTCTCAAGGGTGTTCTGGTGGGCGCGCTGGTAGCAGTTGAACAGGCTGTCCTCCTTGTCCTCATACATCTGCACACCCAGGGGCGCAGAGCGGTGAGGAGGGAAGGCGGGGTAGCTCTCAAGGGTGTTTTGGTGGGCGTGCTGTTAGCAGTTGAACAGGCTGTCCTCCTTGTCCTCGTACATCTGCACACCCAGGGGCGCAGAGTGGAGCAGAGCAGTGAGGAGGGAGGGCAGGGTAGCTCTCAAGGGTGTTCTGGTGGGCGCACTGGTAGCAGTTGAACAGGCTGTCCTCCTTGTCCTCGTACATCTGCACACCCAGGGGCGCAGAGCAGAGCAGAGCGGTGAGGAGGGAAGGCGGGGTAGCTCTCAAGGGTGTTCTGGTGGGCGCGCTGGTAGCAGTTGAACAGGCTGTCCTCCTTGTCTTCGTACATCTGCACACCCAGGGGCGTATAGCGGAGCAGAGCGGTGAGGAGGGAAGGCGGGGTAGCTCTCAAGGGTGTTCTGGTGGGCGCGCTGGTAGAAGTTGAACAGGCTGTCCTCCTTGTCCTCGTACATCTGCACACCCTGGGGCGCAGAGTGGTGAGATGGGAAGGCGGGGTAGCTCTCAAGGGTGTTCTGGTGGGCGCGCTGGTAGCAGTTGAACAGGCTGTCCTCCTTGTCCTCATACATCTGCACACCCAGGGGCGCAGAGCGGAGCAGAGCGGTGAGGAGGGAAGGCGGGGTAGCTCTCAAGGGTGTTTTGGTGGGCGTGCTGTTAGCAGTTGAACAGGCTGTCCTCCTTGTCCTCGTACATCTGCACACCCAGGGGCGCAGAGTGGAGCAGAGCAGTGAGGAGGGAGGGCAGGGTAGCTCTCAAGGGTGTTCTGGTGGGCGCGCTGGTAGCAGTTGAACAGGCTGTCCTCCTTGTCCTCGTACATCTGCACACCCAGGGGCGCAGAGCAGAGCAGAGCGGTGAGGAGGGAAGGCGGGGTAGCTCTCAAGGGTTTTCTGGTGGGCGCGCTGATAGCAGTTGAACAGGCTGTCCTCCTTGTCTTCGTACATCTGCACACCCAGGGGCGTATAGCGGAGCAGAGCAGTGAGGAGGGAAGGCAGGGTAGCTCTCAAGGGTGTTCTGGTAGGCGCGCTGGTAGCAGTTGAACAGGCTGTCCTCCTTGTCCTCGTACATCTGCACACCCAGGGGCGCAGAGCGGAGCAGAGCGGTGAGGAGGGAAGGCGGGGTAGCTCTCAAGGGTGTTCTTGTGGGCGCGCTGGTAGAAGTTGAACAGGCTGTCCTCCTTGTCCTCGTACATCTGCACACCCTGGGGCGCAGAGCGGAGCAGAGCAGTGAGGAGGGAAGGCAGTGTATCTCTCAAGGGTGTTCTGGTGAGCGTGCTGGTAGCTGTTGAACAGGCTGTCCTCCTTGTCCTTGTACATCTGCACACCAAGGGGCGCAGAGCGGAGCAGAGCGGTGAGGAGGGAAGGCGGGGTAGCTCTCAAGGGTGTTGTGGTGGGCTCGCTGGTAGGAGTTGAACAGGCTGTCCTCCTTGTCCTCGTACATCTGCACACCCAGGGGCGCAGATTGGTGAGGAGGGAACGTGGGGTAGCTCTCAAGGGTGTTCTGGTGGGCACGCTGGTAGCAAGTTAACAGGCAGTCCTCCTTGTCCTCGTACATCTGCACACCCAGGGGCGCAGAGCGGAGCAGAGCAGTGAGGAGGGAAGGCAGGGTAGCTCTCAAGGGTGTTCTGGTGGGCGCGCTGGTAGAATTTGAACAGGCTGTCCTCCTTGTCCTCATACATCTGCACACCCTGGGGCGCAGAGTGGTGAGAAAGGAAGGCGGGGTAGCTCTCAAAGGTGTTCAGGTGGGCGCGCTGGTTGCAGTTGAACAGGCTGTCCTCCTTGTCCTCATACATCTGCACACCCAGGGGCGCAGAGTGGAGCAGAGCAGTGAGGAGGGAAGGTAGGGTAGCTCTCAAGGGTGTTCTGGTGGGCACGCTTGTACATCTGCACACCAAGGGGCGCAGAGCGGAGCAGAGCGGTGAGGAGGGAAGGCGGGGTAGCGCTCAAGGGTGTTGTTGTGGGCTCGCTGGTAGTAGTTGAACAGGCTGTCCTCCTTGTCCTCGTACATCTGCACACCCAGGGGCGCAGAGCAGAGCAGAGCGGTGAGGAGGGAAGGCGGGGTAGCTCTCAAGGGTGTTCTGGTGGGCGCGCTGGTAGCTGTTGAACAGGCTGTCCTCCTTGTCCTCGTACATCTGCACACCCACGGGCGCAGAACGGAGCAGAGCAGTGAGGAGGGAAGGCGAGGTAGCTCTCAAGGGTGTTCTGGTGAGCGCGCTGGTAGCAGTTGAACAAGCTGTCCTCCTTGTCCTCGTACATCTGCTCACCCAGGTGCGCATAGTGGTGAGGAGGGAAGGCGGGGTAGCTCTCAAGGGTGTTCTGGTGAGCGCGCTGGTAGCAGTTGAACCGGATGTCCTCCTTGTCCTCGTACATCTGCACACCCAGGGGTGCAGAGCGGAGCAGAGTGGTGAGGAGGGAAGGCGAGGTAGCTCTCAAGGGTGTTCTGGTGAGCGCGCTGGTAGCAGTTGAACAAGCTGTCCTCCTTGTCCTCGTACATCTGCTCACCCAGGTGCGCATAGTGGTGAGGAGGGAAGGCGGGGTAGCTCTCAAGGGTGTTCTGGTGAGCGCGCTGGTAGCAGTTGAACCGGATGTCCTCCGTGTCCTCGTACATCTGCACACCCAAGGGCGCAGAGCGGAGCGGAGCGGTGAGGAGGGAAGGCGGGGTAGCTCTCAAGGGTGTTCTGGTGAGCGCGCTGGTAGAAGTTGAACAGGCTGTCCTCCTTGTCCTCGTACATCTGTACACCTAGGGGCGCAGAGCGGAGCAGAGCGGTGAGGAGGGAAGGCGGGGTAGCGCTCAAGGGTGTTCTGGTGGGTGCGCTGGTAGCAGTTGAACAGGCTGTCCTCCTTGTCCTCGTACATTTCCACACCCAGGGGCGCAGAGCGGAGCAGAGCAGTGAGGAGGGAAGGTGGGGTAGCTCTCAAGGGTGTTCTGGTGGGCGTGCTGGTAGCAGTTGAACAGGCTGTCCTCCTTGTCCTTGTACATCTGCACACCCAGGGGCGCAGAGCGGAGCAGAGCGGTGAGGAGGGTGGCTGGGTAGCTCTCAAGGGTGATCTGGTGAGCGCGCTGGTAGCAGTTGAACAGGCTGTCCTCCTTGTCCTCGTACATCTGCACACCCAGGGGCGCAGAGTGGTGAGGAGGGAAGGCGGGGTAGCTCTCAAGGGTGTTCTGGTGGGCGCGCTGGTAGAAGTTGAACAGGCTGTCCTCCTTGTCCTCGTACATCTGCACACCCTGGGGCGCAGAGTGGTGAGATGGGAAGGCGGGGTAGCTCTCAAGGGTGTTCTGGTGGGCGCGCTGGTAGCAGTTGAACAGGCTGTCCTCCTTGTCCTCATACATCTGCACACCCAGGGGCGCAGAGCGGAGTAGAGTGGTGAGGAGGGAAGGCAGGGTAGCTCTCAAGGGTGTTTTGGTGGGCGTGCTGTTAGCAGTTGAACAGGCTGTCCTCCTTGTCCTCGTACATCTGCACACCCATGGACGCAGAGTGGAGCAGAGCAGTGAGGAGGGAGGGCGGGGTAGCTCTCAAGGGTGTTCTGGTGGGCGCGCTGGTAGCAGTTGAACAGGCTGTCCTCCTTGTCCTCGTACATCTGCACACCCAGGGGCGCAGAGCAGAGCAGAGCGGTGAGGAGGGAAGGCGGGGTAGCTCTCAAGGCTGTTCTGGTGGGCGCGCTGGTAGCAGTTGAACAGGCTGTCCTCCTTGTCTTCATACATCTGCACACCCAGGGGCGTATAGCGGAGCAGAGCGGTGAGGAGGGAAGGCAGGGTAGCTCTCAAGGGTGTTCTGGTAGGCGCGCTGGTAGCAGTTGAACAGGCTGTCCTCCTTGTCCTCGTACATCTGCACACCCAGGGGCGCAGAGCGGAGCAGAGCAGTGAGGAGGGAAGGCGGGGTAGCTCTCAAGGGTGTTCTTGTAGGCGCGCTGGTAGAAGTTGAACAGGCTGTCCTCCTTGTCCTCGTACATCTGCACACCCAGGGGCGCAGAGCAGAGCAGTGAGGAGGGAAGGCAGTGTATCTCTCAAAGGTGTTCTGGTGAGCGCGCTGGTAGCTGTTGAACAGGCTGTCCTCCTTGTCCTTGTACATCTGCACACCAAGGGGCGCAGAGCGGAGCAGAGCGGTGAGGAGGGAAGGCGGGGTAGCTCTCAAGGGTGTTGTGGTGGGCTCGCTGGTAACAGTTGAACAGGCTGTCCTCCTTGTCCTCGTACATCTGCACACCCAGGGGCGCAGAGTGGTGAGGAGGGAACGTGGGGTAGCTCTCAAGGGTGTTCTGGTGGGCGCGCTGGTAGCAGTTTAACAGGCAGTCCTCCTTGTCCTCGAACATCGGCACACCCAGGGGCGCAGAGCGGAGCAGAGCAGTGAGGAGGGAAGGCAGGGTAGCTCTCAAGGGTGTTCTGGTGGGCGCGCTGGTAGAATTTGAACAGGCTGTCCTCCTTGTCCTCATACATCTGCACACCCTGGGGCGCAGAGTGGTGAGAAAGGAAGGCGAGGTAGCTCTCAAAGGTGTTCTGGTGGGCGCGCTGGTTGCAGTTGAACAGGCTGTCCTCCTTGTCCTCATACATCTGCACACCCAGGGGCGCAGAGTGGAGCAGAGCAGTGAGGAGGGAAGGCAGGGTAGCTCTCAAGGGTGTTCTGGTGGGCACGCTTGTACATCTGCACACCAAGGGGCGCAGAGCGGAGCAGAGCGGTGAGGAGGGAAGGCGGGGTAGCTCTCAAGGGTGTTGTTGTGGGCTCGCTGGTAGTAGTTGAACAAGCTGTCCTCCTTGTCCTCGTACATCTGCACACCCAGGGGCGCAGAACAGAGCAGAGCGGTGAGGAGGGAAGGCGGGGTAGCTCTCAAGGGTGTTCTGGTGGGCGCGCTGGTAGCAGTTGAACAGGCTGTCCTCCTTGTCCTCGTACATCTGCACACCCACGGGCGCAGAACGGAGCAGAGCAGTGAGGAGGGAAGGCGGGGTAGCTCTCAAGGGTGTTCTGGTGGGCGCGCTAGTAGCAGTTGAAGAGGCTGTCCTCCTTGTCCTTGTACATCTGCACACCCAGGGGTGCAGAGCGGAGCAGAGCGGTGAGGAGGGAAGGCGAGGTAGCTCTCAAGGGTGTTCTGGTGAGCGCGCTGGTAGCAGTTGAACAAGCTGTCCTCCTTGTCCTCGTACATCTGCTCACCCAGGTGCGCATAGTGGTGAGGAGGGAAGGCGGGGTAGCTCTCAAGGGTGTTCTGGTGAGCGCGCTGGTAGCAGTTGAACCGAATGTCCTCCTTGTCCTCGTACATCTGCACACCCAAGGGCGCAGAGCGGAGCGGAGCGGTGAGGAGGGAAGGCGGGGTAGCTCTCAAGGGTGTTCTGGTGAGCGCGCTGGTAGAAGTTGAACAGGCTGTCCTCCTTGTCCTCGTACATCTGCACACCTAGGGGCGCAGAGCGGAGCAGAGCGGTGAGGAGGGAAGGCGGGGTAGCTCTCAAGGGTGTTGTGGTGGGCTCGCTGGTAACAAATGAACAGGCTGTCCTCCTTGTCCTCGTACATCTGCACACCCAGGGGCGCAGAGTGGTGAGGAGGGAACGTGGGGTAGCTCTCAAGGGTGTTCTGGTGGGCGCGCTGGTAGCAGTTTAACAGGCAGTCCTCCTTGTCCTCGAACATCGGCACACCCAGGGGCGCAGAGCGGAGCAGAGCAGTGAGGAGGGAAGGCAGGGTAGCTCTCAAGGGTGTTCTGGTGGGCGCGCTGGTAGCAGTTGAACAGGCTGTCCTCCTTGTCCTCGTACATCTGCACACCAAGGGGCGCAGAGCGGAGCAGAGCGGTGAGGAGGGAAGGCGGGGTAGCTCTCAAGGGTGTTGTGGTGGGCTCGCTGGTAACAGTTGAACAGGCTGTCCTCCTTGTCCTCGTACATCTGCACACCCAGGGGCGCAGAGTGGTGAGGAGGGAACGTGGGGTAGCTCTCAAGGGTGTTCTGGTGGGCGCGCTGGTAGCAGTTTAACAGGCAGTCCTCCTTGTCCTCGAACATCGGCACACCCAGGGGCGCAGAGCGGAGCAGAGCAGTGAGGAGGGAAGGCAGGGTAGCTCTCAAGGGTGTTCTGGTGGGCGCGCTGGTAGAATTTGAACAGGCTGTCCTCCTTGTCCTCATACATCTGCACACCCTGGGGCGCAGAGTGGTGAGAAAGGAAGGCGAGGTAGCTCTCAAAGGTGTTCTGGTGGGCGCGCTGGTTGCAGTTGAACAGGCTGTCCTCCTTGTCCTCATACATCTGCACACCCAGGGGCGCAGAGTGGAGCAGAGCAGTGAGGAGGGAAGGCAGGGTAGCTCTCAAGGGTGTTCTGGTGGGCACGCTTGTACATCTGCACACCAAGGGGCGCAGAGCGGAGCAGAGCGGTGAGGAGGGAAGGCGGGGTAGCTCTCAAGGGTGTTGTTGTGGGCTCGCTGGTAGTAGTTGAACAGGCTGTCCTCCTTGTCCTCGTACATCTGCACACCCAGGGGCGCAGAACAGAGCAGAGCGGTGAGGAGGGAAGGCGGGGTAGCTCTCAAGGGTGTTCTGGTGGGCGCGCTGGTAGCAGTTGAACAGGCTGTCCTCCTTGTCCTCGTACATCTGCACACCCACGGGCGCAGAACGGAGCAGAGCAGTGAGGAGGGAAGGCGGGGTAGCTCTCAAGGGTGTTCTGGTGGGCGCGCTAGTAGCAGTTGAAGAGGCTGTCCTCCTTGTCCTTGTACATCTGCACACCCAGGGGTGCAGAGCGGAGCAGAGCGGTGAGGAGGGAAGGCGAGGTAGCTCTCAAGGGTGTTCTGGTGAGCGCGCTGGTAGCAGTTGAACAAGCTGTCCTCCTTGTCCTCGTACATCTGCTCACCCAGGTGCGCATAGTGGTGAGGAGGGAAGGCGGGGTAGCTCTCAAGGGTGTTCTGGTGAGCGCGCTGGTAGCAGTTGAACCGAATGTCCTCCTTGTCCTCGTACATCTGCACACCCAAGGGCGCAGAGCGGAGCGGAGCGGTGAGGAGGGAAGGCGGGGTAGCTCTCAAGGGTGTTCTGGTGAGCGCGCTGGTAGAAGTTGAACAGGCTGTCCTCCTTGTCCTCGTACATCTGCACACCTAGGGGCGCAGAGCGGAGCAGAGCGGTGAGGAGGGAAGGCAGGGTAGCACTCAAGGGTGTTCTGGTGGGCGCGCTGGTAGCAGTTGAACAGGCTGTCCTCCTTGTCCTCGTACATTTCCACACCCAGGGGCGCAGAGCGGAGCAGAGCAGTGAGGAGGGAAGGCGGGGTAGCTCTCAAGGGTGTTCTGGTGGGCGTGCTGGTAGCAGTTGAACAGGCTGTCCTCCTTGTCCTTGTACATCTGCACACCCAGGGGCGCAGAGCGGAGCAGAGCGGTGAGGAGGGTGGCTGGGTAGCTCTCAAGGGTGATCTGGTGAGCGCGCTGGTAGCAGTTGAACAGGCTGTCCTCCTTGTCCTTGTACATCTGCACACCCAGGGGCGCAGAGTGGTGAGGAGAGAAGGCGGGGTAGCTCTCAAGGGTGTTCTGGTGGGCGCGCTGGTAGCAGTTTAACAGGCTGTCCTCCTTGTCCTCGTACATCTGCACACCCAGGGGCGCAGAGCGGAGCAGAGCAGTGAGGAGGGAAGGCAGGGTAGCTCTCAAGGGTGTTCTGGTGGGCGCGCTGGTAGAAGCTGAACAGGCTGTCCTCCTTTTCCTCGTACATCTGCACACCCAGGGGCGCAGAGCGGAGCGGAGCGGTGAGGAGGGAAGGCGGGGTAGCTCTCAAGGGTGTTCTGGTGGGCGCGCTGGTAGAAGTTGAACAGGCTGTCCTCCTTGTCCTCGTACATCTGCACACCTAGGGGCGCAGAGCGGAGCAGAGCGGTGAGGAGGGAAGGCGGGGTAGCGCTCAAGGGTGTTCTGGTGGGTGAGCTGGTAGCAGTTGAACAGGCTGTCCTCCTTGTCCTCGTACATCTGCACACCCAAGGGCGCAGAGCGGAGCAGAGCGGTGAGGAGGGAAGGCGGAGTAGCTCTCAAGGGTGTTCTTGTGGGCGCGCTGGTAGCAGTTTAACAGGTTGTGCTCCTTGTCCTCGTACATATGCACACCCAGGGGCGCAGAGCGGAGTAGAGCAGTGAGGGGGGAAGGCGGGGTAGCTCTCAAGGGTGTTCTGGTGGGCGCGCTGGTAGCAGTTGAAGAGGCTGTCCTCCTTGTCCTCGTACATCTGCACACCCAGGGGCGTAGAGCGGAGCAGAGCGGTGAGGAGGGAAGGCGGGGTAGCTCTCAAGGGTGTTCTGGTGAGCGCGCTGGTAGCAGTTGAACAGGTTGTCCTCCTTGTCCTCGTACATCTGCACACCCACGGGCGCAGAGTGGTGAGGAGGGAAGGCGGGGTAGCTCTCAAGGGTGGTCTGGTGGGTGCGCTGGTAGAAGTTGAACAGGCTGTCCTCCTTGTCCTCGTACATCTGCACACCCTGGGGCGCAGAGTGGTGAGGGAGAAGGCAGGGTAGCTCTCAAGGGTGTTCTTGTGGGCGCGCTGGTAGCAGTTGAACAGGCTGTACTCCTTGTCCTCGTACATCTGCACACCCTGGGGCACAGAGTGGTGAGGAGAGAAGGCGGGGTAGCTCTCAAGGGTGTTCTGGTGGGCGCGGTGGTAGCAGTTGAACAGGCTGTCCTCCTTGTCCTCATACATCTGCACACCCAGGGGTGCAGAGTGGAGCAGAGAGGTGAGGAGGGAAGGTGGGGTAGCTCTCAAGGGTGTTCTGGTGGGAGCACTGGTAGTAATTGAACAGGCTGTCCTCCTTGTCCTCGTACATCTGCACACCCAGGGGCACAGAGCGGAGCAGAGCAGTGAGGAGGGAAGGCAGTGTATCTCTCAAGGGTGTTCTGGTGAGCGCGCTGGTAGCTGTTGAACAGGCTGTCCTCCTTGTCCTTGTACATCTGCACACTAAGGGGCGCAGAGCGGAGCAGAGCGGTGAGGAGGGAAGGCGGGGTAGCTCTCAAGGGTGTTGTGGTGGGCTCGCTGGTAGCAGTTGAAGAGGCTGTTCTCCTTATCCTCGTACATCTGCACACCCAGGAGCGCAGAGCGGAGCAGAGCGGTGAGGAGGGAAGGCGGGGTAGCTCTCAAGGGTGTTGTGGTGGGCTCGCTGGTAGCAGTTGAAGAGGCTGTTCTCCTTGTCCTCGTACATCTGCACACCCAGGAGCGCAGAGCGGAGCGGAGCGGTGAGGAGGGAAGGCGGGGTAGCTCTCAAGGGTGTTCTTGTGAGCGCGCTGGTAGCAGTTGAACAGGTTGTCCTCCTTGTCCTCGTACATCTGCACACCCACGGGCGCAGAGTGGTGAGGAGGGAAGGCGGGGTAGCTCTCAAGGGTGTTCTGGTGCGCGCGCTGGTAGCAGTTGAACAGGCTGTCCTCCTTGTCCTCGTACATCTGCACACCCTGGGGCGCAGAGTGGTGAGGAGGGAAGGCGGGGTAGCTGTCAAGGGTGTTCTTGTGGGCGCGCTGGTAGCAGTTGAACAGGCTGTACTCCTTGTCCTCGTACATCTGCACACCCTAGGGCGCAGAGTGGTGAGGAGGGAAGGCGGAGTAGCTCTCAAGGGTGTTCTGGTGGGCGCGGTGGTAGCAGTTGAACAGGCTGTCCTCCTTGTCCTCATACATCTGCACACCCAGGGGCCGGAGTGGAGCAGAGAGGTGAGGAGGGAAGGTGGGGTAGCTCTCAAGGGTGTTCTGGTGGGCGTGCTGGTAGCAATTGAACAGGCTGTCCTCCTTGTCCTCGTACATCTGCACACCCAGGGGCCCAGAGCGGAGCAGAACAGTGAGGAGGGAAGGCGGTGTATCTCTCAAGGGTGTTCTGGTGAGCGCGCTGGTAGCTGTTGAATAGGCTGTCCTCCTTGTCCTTGTACATCTGCACACCAAGGGGCGTAGAGTGGAGCAGAGCGGTGAGGAGGGAAGGCGGGGTAGCTCTCAAGGGTGTTGTGGTGGGCACGCTGGTAGCAGTTGAACAGGCTGTCCTCCTTGTCCTCCTACATCTGCACACCCAGGGGCGCAGAGCGGAGCAGAGCGGTGAGGAGGGAAGGTGGGGTAGCTCTCAAGGGTGTTCTGGTGGGCGCGCTGGTAGCAGTTGAACAGGCTGTCCTCCTTGTCCTCGTACATTTCCACACCCAGGGGCGCAGAGCGGAGCAGAGCAGTGAGGAGGGAAGGCGGGGTAGCTCTCAAGGGTGTTCTGGTGGGCGTGCTGGTAGCAATTAAACAGGCTGTCCTCCTTGTCCTCGTACATCTGCACACCCAGGGGCGCAGAGCGGAGCAGAACAGTGAGGAGGGAAGGTGGTGTATCTCTCAAGGGTGTTCTGGTGGGCGTGCTGGTAGCAATTGAATAGGCTGTCCTCCTTGTCCTCGTACATCTGCACACCCAGGGTCGCAGAGCGGAGCAGAACAGTGAGGAGGGAAGGCGGTGTATCTCTCAAGGGTGTTCTGGTGAGCGCGCTGGTAGCTGTTGAACAGGCTGTCCTCCTTGTCCTTGTACATCTGCACACCAAGGGGCATAGATTGGAGCAGAGCGGTGAGGAGGGAAGGCGGGGTAGCTCTCAAGGGTGTTGTGGTGGGCTCGCTGGTAGCAGTTGAACAGGCGGTCCTCCTTGTCCTCGTACATCTGCACACCCAGGGGCGCAGAGCGGAGCAGAGCGATGAGGAGGGAAGGTGGGGTAGCTCTCAAGGGTGTTCTGGTGAGCTCGCTGGTAGCAGTTGAACTGGTTGTCCTCCTTGTCCTCGTACATCTGCACACCCACGGGCGCAGAGTGGTGAGGAGGGAAGGCGGGGTAGCTCTCAAGGGTGTTCTGGTGGGCGCACTGGTAGCAGTTGAACAGGCTGTCCTCCTTGTCCTCGTACATCTGCACACCCTGGGGCGCAGAGTGGTGAGGAGGGAAGGCGGGGTAGCTCTCAAGGGTGTTTTGGTGGGCGCGCAGGTAGCAGTTGAACAGGCTGTCCTCCTGTTCCTCCTACATCTGCACACCCAGGGGCGCAGAGCGGAGCGGAGCGGTGAGGAGGGAAGGCGGGGTAGCTCTCAAGGGTGTTCTGGTGGGCACGCTAGTAGCAGTTGAACAAGCTTTCCTCCTTGTCCTCGTACATCTGCACACCCAGGTGCGCAGAGTGGTGAGGAGGGAAGGCGGGGTAGCTCTCAAGGGTGTTCTGGTGAGCGCGCTGGTAGCAGTTGAACATGCTGTCCTCCTTGTCCTCGTACATCTGCACACCCAGGGGCGCGGAGCGGAGCAGAGCGGTGAGGAGGGAAGGCGGGGTAGCTCTCAAGGGTGTTCTGGTGGGCGCGCTGGTAGAAGTTGAACAGGCTGTCCTCCTTGTCCTCGTACATCTGCACACCTAGGGGCGCAGAGCGGAGCAGAGCAGTGAGGAGGGAAGGCAGGGTAGCGCTCAAGGGTGTTCTGGTGGGCGCGCTGGTAGAAGTTGAACAGGCTGTCCTCCTTGTCCTCGTACATCTGCACACCTAGGGGCGCAGAGCGGAGCAGAGCAGTGAGGAGGGAAGGCGGGGTAGCTCTCAAGGGTGTTCTGGTGGGCGTGCTGGTAGCAGTTGAACAGGCTGTCCTCCTTGTCCTTGTACATCTGCACACCCAGGGGCGCAGAGTGGAGCAGAGCGGTGAGGAGGGAAGGCGGGGTAGCTCTCAAGGGTGATCTGGTGAGCGCGCTGGTAGCAGTTGAACAGGCTGTCCTCCTTGTCCTCGTACATCTGCACACCCAGGGGCGCAGAGTGGTGAGGAGGGAAGGCGGGGTAGCTCTCAAGGGTTTTCTGGTGGGTGCGCTGGTAGCAATTGAACAGGCTGTCCTCCTTGTCCTCGTACATCTGCACACCCTAGGGCACTGAGTGGTGAGGAGGGAAGGCGGGGTAGCTCTCAAGGGTGTTCTTGTGGGCGCACTGGTAGCAGTTGAACAGGCTGTCCTCCTTGTCCTCGTACATCTGCACACCCAGGGGCGTAGAGCGGAGCAGAGCGGTGAGGAGGGAAGGCGGGGTAGCTCTCAAGGGTGTTCTGGTGGGCGCGCTGGTAGCAGTTGAACAGGCTGTCCTCCTTGTCCTCGTACATTTGCACACCCAGGGGCGCAGAGCGGAGCAGAGCAGTGAGGAGGGAAGGCGGGGTAGCTCTCAAGGGTGTTCTGGTGGGCGTGCTGGTAGCAGTTGAACAGGCTGTCCTCCTTGTCCTTGTACATCTGCACACCCAGGGGCGCAGAGCGGAGCAGAACGGTGAGGAGGGAAGGCGGGGTAGCTCTCAAGGGTGATCTGGTGAGCGCGCTGGTAGCAGTTGAACAGGCTGTCCTCCTTGTCCTTGTACATCTGCACACCCAGGGGCGCAGAGTGGTGAGGAGGGAAGGCGGGGTAGCTCTCAAGGGTTTTCTGGTGGGTGCGCTGGTAGCAATTGAACAGGATGTCCTCCTTGTCCTCGTACATCTGCACACCCTAGGGCACTGTGTGGTGAGGAGGGAAGGCGGGGTAGCTCTCAAGGGTGTTCTGGTGGGCACGCTGGTAGCAGTTGAACAGGCTGTCCTCCTTGTCCTCGTACATCTGCACACCCAGGGGCGTAGAGCGGAGCAGAGCGGTGAGGAGGGAAGGCGGGGTAGCTCTCAAGGGTGTTCTGGTGGGCGCGCTGGTAGCAGTTGAACAGGCTGTCCTCCTTTGCCTCGTACATCTGCACACCCAGGGCCGCAGAGTCGTGAGGAGGGAATGCGGGGTAGCTCTAAAGGGTGTTTTGGTGGGGGCGCTGGTAGTAGTTGAAGAGGCTGTCCTCCTTGTCCTCGTACATCTGCACACCTAGGGGTGCAGAGCGGAGCAGAGCGGTGAGGAGGGAAGGCGGGGTAGCTCTCAAGGGTGTTCTGGTGGGCGCGTTGGTAGCAGTTGAACAGACTGTCCTCCTTGTCCTCGTACATCTGCACACCTATGGGCGCAGAGCGGAGTAGAGCGGTGAGGAGGGAAGGCGGGGTAGCTCTCAAGGGTGTTGTGCTCAGCCACCGGTGCAGAGCAGTGAACGGAGGTGCGAATGGGGTAAGAAAAGTGAGCACGCAAGAGCAGTGGGAGCAGGTGAAGCTGCCACCCTTAGCATTGTGCGTCTGGAACAAGGTAGAATCAGAATGTAACCACAGTGTAACCCGCCTTGTAACTGTACTGTAACCACCGTGGAACTGCATTGTAACCACCCTGTAATCGACCTTCACTTTCTAAAACGCAACTCCTGAAGGTCATGAGCCCTCCGGTGCCCACCCTGTTGCACTGGATGGCATTGTAACCACCTGGTAACCACCTAGTAACCGCAGCACCAAGATCACCACCCTTGTGCCCTCCCGTGCGCACGTTTGGGTACGGAACGTTGTTGGCGTTTTGTAAGAATTCAAAAAAAAACCACATTGGAGAAAGCAACATTAGACCAGTCTACCGCGCCCTCCCGTGCGCACCTTGGGGTACGGGACGTTTCTGGCCCTCCGTTGCTTCGCCACATGCCATGTCAGCACACACTTGACAAGCAGAGGTGAACGGTACAGGTGGTTAACAGAGTCAACGGAGCCAGCCAGCTGTAGGTGGAACCAACCTTGCGAGTGCACATGGGATTTAGTGTGGTGTAGTGTAGTGTACGGTAGAGTAGCGTGGTGTGGGTGTCAGAATCCCAACCACTAGACCATTGGGATAAAAGTGCTTATTCAGTAGCGGGTCAATGCGCCCATACCCCCCCAGGACAACGAGCCTGTAACCCTTCCCTAGGATCAATCAGGGATCTCCAGTTGACCTCTGAAACCCCCCCCCAGCACTGGGATGCCCGAAGTGCACACACTAGGATTCAAACCCGAGACCTTCGCTCTGATACCATGTCAGAATCCCAACCACTAGACCACTGGGATAAAATGGCTTGTTTGTGTAGCGAGTTTGTGCGCCCATAACCCCCCAGGCGAACGCGCCTGTAACCCCCCTAGGATCAATCGGGCATCCATAGTGTAGTTCTACTGACACCCCCCCATACTAGGAGGCCCAGGACTGAGCACAGCGGCAACGGCCTACATGTGCTCCATTCTGTACGTAGACAACAAGGCCATGATGGCCTTGTGTCAGGAGCACAGACTGGAGCACAGAACGAAGCACATCGCTCTGCGATACATCCTTGCTCGAGAGTTGCAGCAGCGTGGCCAGCTTCGTCTTGCGTACGTGGCCACAAGGGCCAACACTGCTGATATATTCACCAAGGCACTTCCGTCTGGTGATCATCAGCGCTTCTCTACTGTGTTAGGCCTTGTGCCTACTTTGCCTCACTTGCTCACTGCGTGACTTTGCTTGTACTGTGATCTATATATATACCTGCATGCTTACACTTCCTAGGCTATGATCACTGTATTGTTTGTTCTCAGTTATATAACTCTGCATGTGAACTGGCCTTGTGGCCCTTTGCTTGTGCTCGGACTGTGTGGTGACTTTGTGATCCACCCTGAGCTTGCTTTGCTTTTCTTGACTGGTCTTGTGACCACTTGTTCTCCCCCACTTTGTCTATGGGGGTGTGTCAGAATGTTATAGTGCTTTCAATTGTGTAGGCTATAGTGGGGTAGCCCATAAGGGGTACAACCCAATTAGGGTTCGTACTTGTACCCAACTCTTTCATTGTTCATCCATTCTTGTTCGTTTGTTTGACAGTGGGTAGTGTAGGGTAGTGTAGTGTAGAGTGTAGGCTAGGGTAGTAGTGTCGTGTCGGGTTGTGTAATGTGGGCATGCGTTTTCAGATATCCGCTTGCGCACTTTGAGCGGATCAGTTTCTTGAGAACGCTAGTTTCACGAGGTCCGTTTTCACATGCACGTAACGTGACCAGGACGCATATTCGATACAAGTCAGTCTGATATAAGCATGCGACCTTGATCATCTGCCATTGCGTCAGCACGGCGCTAGCAACAGCTATCACACCACCAGACGGCATACCCGCTATTGTTCAGTCTGATATAAGCGATGTACCTCGATCATCAGTGCTAGCAGCAGCAGTAAGAACCACCGGCCCGAACTCGCGCGGGAGCGACTCAATCACCACCGCGCGCAACTCCCGGCCGCACGGAAACGGCGGAAGCGGGTTTCCGCGACCACACGGAGGTTGTGCTCCGCAGCTGAAGCGAGCAAGCGGAAGCAAGGCCGTGTCGCGGTAGGCGCACGGAGACGGCGGAACAGGCTCCCCGTGGTGCGCTTGCGCGGGGAAGAACAGGGGTGATGCAAGACGCGGCGATGGGGGCCATGGTGGAGTGCTGTTGGTGGTGGTGTCTGACGATCAGTCTTGGAGTTGAGGATTATGGCAGAATGTTTGAACTTTCATGATTTCTACAAAATGTATTTCGGAATTCTGAGCTATAGTATGCATACTGCACCACACTCAACTCCCCATGCCCTATTTATTTGTTGCCGTTCCAACAAAATGGATAACCACGTATCAAGATTCATCAAGATATATCACATATAGTTTTGGATCACAAATGTAAAAATGGAACGCTTCTGGCATTAGATTTAACAAAGCATAATTAAATTAACAATCAGAATGAAGCATATTTGTAATAATTTACTGGAGGTACACTGTTCTGGTACGCTGATTCGCTATAATCCACAATACACTGCCACCTCTGATGGGATTCCAAACCTGGGGGAGTGCCTCGGTGGAGGTGACGGACCTCGAGAGGCCATCTGGATCACCACCTGGGATCCATGTGGACATCGAAGCACGATCCGAACCATCCGTCTGCTCATTCAGATGAAATCCTAACTGAGCTACACCGCATACGATAATCGGTAATTTCCCCGTCAAGTTCTTGACGGACGTCAGGTTCTCTGTCTGCGTTGCTAGATTTGGGAACCAGCAGGCCGAGTTAGTTTGAATTCTTGAAAACCTAAAATCGATGCCCGCATTGCCTCTGCCGGTTTTCTGTTTCTACACAATGGCTCAGACCTCGAAACCCTAGATGGACTTTTAGGTTAGGTTCCCTCAGATTTGTTTCCCCGAATAACGTGACTGCCGTCTCCTCATTCATTTCTTTTTTAATGTGCGTCCTTAGTTACGATTTTTGTTTATGGTATCGTCAGGCATAGGCTATTCTCGGTCGTCTAGGGTTCCATGGAGGTGTCAAGGAGTTGAAGGGAGGCCTCGGGTCTCGTGTGTGCGAGATGGAGTTGCATCACGGAGAGGGGTCCGCGGAAATCTCGTCTGGTCGCTTCTAGGCGTCTCCCCTCGGCGTACCTTTCTACAGATCACCGCTTGCTACAGTACCTTCGCGCGCAACCCCACCTCAGTACACGACAGATCCGATGGCTCGATGGACTCGAGTCAAACTTTCACTACACGGTCACCTACGATAAGGGTGCCTCCAACATTGCCGACACATTGACCCCCCCAACTACCCAAATCCACATGATACTACTCGCCCAAACCAGCCGACTCCTCACAGGACTATTCACCCAATGCTACCAGACGGACCCGTTCTTCACTGGAGGCAATTCGCAAAAGTTTGCAGCAGCACGAGAGGTGTATTACGTAAAAGCCGACACTAATCACATCTGGGTACCAAGCTACACCCAACTGCAGGAATTACAGTTATAGGAGGCACATGATGGAATCACCTCAGGACATTTTGTGGTCGAAAAAGCACAACAGCAATGGTACTATTATTGGCCCGAAATGCTGACCGACATGCAGCGACACGTAGCATCGTGTCCCACGTGCCAGCTGATGAAATTATCACAACAACGACCAGCGGGACAGTTGCAGACGATACCACCCCCAGAGCATGCTTTGCAGCAAGTGACGATGGACTCCGTCACTGGGTTACCGGCTGGAGCTAGTGGGAGTGATGCGATCCTCGTCATCGTCGATCGGGTAACAAAAATGGCCCATTTTGTAGCCTGCAAGAAATCAATCTCAGCCGAAGAAACAGCTCGACTCTTCATCTCCACCGTCGTTCGACTGCACGGATACCCGCAGCGATCATTAGCGACCGCGACACAAGATTCACCAGCAACTTCTGGCGGAACCTGTGGCAGCAGTTCGGCACACGTCTACAGTTCAGTTCATCGTACCACCCAAAAACCGACAGTCAGACGGAGCGGACCAATCAGTCCATGGAGCTGTTAATTTGAGCCACGTGCGACGACCCAGCAACATGGCTGGCCCTCACCGAGTTCGCGTACAACAACTCGACGTCAGCCACGACCCAACAGTTGCCGTTCTACCTCAACTACGGACAAAACCCCATCGTCGTCATGACACCGAATCCTGACAACCCAGTACCACGTGCTCAGCAGTTCGCCGAAAATTTACAAGCAGCCCGGACCCGAGCAGCAGACGCCATAAAACGGTCAAACCTCATCACTAAGCACAGAGCCGATCGCCACTGCCGCCCTGTCACTTATCAGTCCGACGCCCTTGTAGTACTCGACACCCAGAACCTCCGCCTGCCTGTCACCTCAAAATTACTCCCACAATATTGCGGGCCATTTTGCATCAGTCACATGATCACGCCAGTCACCGCCCACCTCCTCCTGCCCATTGACTGGTACGTCAGCCCGACATTCCACGTTTGCCTCCTCCGCCCCTATGCCCCTTCAACGAGTCAACTGCGACGCAGCCGCCCGTCAAGCATGACAAGCCCACCGACCGAACCAATCATCAGCCCCGAACGTGGAGCACGCCGCATTGAATTCCTAATACGTTGGAAGGACTGCACGCAGACT